ACCGTTTTAATTTGTCTTGTGTCTGCGGAGTCCCTGTTTATGTAGATAAAAAGCCAAAAACAACAACTGGGGAATATTGTTAATCCATTGCATCGCTGCAGTGCTGTCCTGTCCAGAGGAGACGCTAGCACCCTAACACTGATTTTGTGTATCCGGAGAGATCCAAATTTGGATTGTGGTAACATCTTCAACCAAATGTCGAGTAAGGGTGAAAAGCCTGGACTAGAGCAGTGGAACAGATTGGCCTCAAAAGGAGCTAGGAGCCATCGAGATGCATGCTGCTGGCATCAGGAGAGCACTGCATTGATTCACTTAGACAAAATCTCAGGCGTGGCTGAGGTTTGAATGCATATGTTGAATGGTGGCATTGCAAACTGAAACCTGAACTGTAGCTTCCATTTCAGGCCAGGAAAAAGTGCTACTCTGATTTCAGCCTATTGAGTCACCTTCCTACTTGTTTTGCCAATGTTTCCTTCAGCTAAATGGGAGAAGTCGGGAACTGAGATGTGAAATTGCTAGCTTGAAAATCAAGCCAAAAAGAAAAATCCTTCAGGGGAAACAATTGGCATCTTCGTGGTTGATAAGAGGTTATTAAAATTGAGAAAATAATTGCTTGCCTTGTTACCTTTTCAGATGGAACGACTGTTGCCCTTGTACGTAATTTCTAGGCAATTACAGGTCAGGATGGAGTAATTAGATGACAGAATGATGAAAAAGAATAATTTCTTGTCTCTTATCGTGAGTTGAAGGAAGTAGGCATCACTCCTTGGAAGTAAACATTTGGCTTTGTAATGCATTAGCGTGACATATCATATTCCAGGTGCCAAGCTTGAATTCTGGTTTGCCCCTTCAGGTTCCATTCTCTTGGTTGTGAAAGCAGCATGAAGTGTGTAATTCTGCTTCCCTCATCATCTCAGATTCAGAAGGAGGACTGGGGTGAATGCTGTCCTTGCTTGATTGCAGCGTTAAATGAACAAATATATTTAATGTCATGATCTTAGTATACAGCACTCTAGATGAAAAACCATCCATGCATGTCATTGTGTTCACATCTATTCGGCTGACTCCCCCTCGTGCTGACAGCAGCCCCCTTTTTTATTCTTTACGCTGGCCTGGAACCTGGCCCTTTTAAATAAGGATGGAGAAGGGGACACGTAGCACATAGTCTGTGCCCAGCACCCATGGTCACTTCTGAATCGGAAATATCACCTGAGAAGTCCTCACGCATTGCAGCGTGGTGGCAGCGTGGGTTTTTCCTGCCGCTGCCCCAGATGGAGCAGGCTCAGTTCTCATGCTCAGCACCTCAGCCCAGTGTTTCCTGGCAGGCAGCTGTGTGCCTCCTGATGTATCTACAGCCAATGGGATGGGAAGTTAAAATGGAACGGAGGGTAGGCTGCAGAGAAAGATAGTTGTGTGGAACACACCACCTCTTACCATCGTACGTAAGATTGCTGCCTGAAGGACAGCGTCTGCTTGAACTTTGGCACCAGTGAAGATGGCAGCGAGTCCAATTTAAAATAGCTAACAAATTCTGATGTATGTCATCCGTGTTCTCGCTTCAGCTTTATAGTCTTAGAAAGGCTTAGTTAATTTGAGTTTTCTTTAATGAGTACACCTCCAGATTCTAGATTTTAATGTATGAAGTAATTCATTAAATGAAATAACTCAAAAAAGGCAGCTTGGGCCTCCTTATTTAGGGAACACAAAAGGAACATGTCCTGTGTCTGACACCAGGTAAACGACCGTTTTAATTCAGTCATCAACTGCAGAGAGAACGGCTAGAGTGAATTGGAAGTGAAGGAAATTAAGAACCAACTTGAAAAGGCAAGAAAGCTTTTTGGAAGCAGAAGCATTAGTAAAAATAAGGAATGTGAATAAATGTGTGTTGCCTGTATTCCTTCAGTGAATTTGGATGCACTCCAGCTGTTTTATGCTTTCCTGAAAATTATACAGTAAGTGCATCCCTTAATAATTAAGTGAAATGTTTTTACAAAGAGATGCCATTCAAATGAAATCCAGATCGATTTAATCAGGTGTTGGTTCAGTGACATCAAATTATCATTCAGGCTTGCATTTAAAACCAATTGTGAAGGCAAGTGGTAGGTTTTATGTCGTTGTACATCAACTAAAATATACCTACTCAGTCTTCGGTGCTGCCTGCTTGCTTTCAGATATTCCAAGTCCAGTTACTCATGTGCAGAGTCGTTGAATAGTTTGGTGCTGTGTTAAACGAGCGGGTTTCACTTACTAATCTTCATTTTATGAGTGGAGGGCATTAGGAGGTGAGTCACTGCCATTGGCACAGCCAGCTTGCGTGCTGCTGGCAGTGCAGTGCCAAGCACCCACCTGTGGGCCAGTTCTGTGTGCTCACCAGCACTGCTTCACATCTCCTGAATCAGTCTGTATGTAGGAATTGTGTTAGCCAGCACAGGATAACTGTGTGCCCAAGTCTTCTGGCGGGACTTCAGGTTCCCGGCTTTTTTCTGTCGTCTTTTTCTTACCTGGTGGCTGTTTGCAATGTAGACAAGCATGCTGCTGTCATTTCTGCTCTGCTGAGTTTAAGTTGCAGAGCTTTCCCTGAAGGTAGTGATGCTGTGCAGGCTGTCAAGGGAGCTTTTACTGGGAGGTGATGTTGCAGTAGATCTGTCCATAGCTTTTTTCCTATGATTTATGATTGTCAGAGCAATACTAGAAGATGGCAAATTAAAAGTAGATGAAGCTACTGTAATATTGATATATTTGTGTATTCCTTGGTGCATGGAACTTTACTTTCTGTTCCAGCTGTACTGTTTGTTCCCAGAGTCAGTGCACGCTTATTTTTTCTCCTTTTATCTTGCTTGTGCTCCTTCTGATCTGGTTGGGTTTTATACATTCTCTCTGAGTATTTTCTGTGTAATTTGCAGACATGGTGAGGGCTGGAAGAAACCTGGCTGATGGTTGTTGGTTTAAAACCGTTGATTGGAGTCTGTTTAGATATTTTCTTAACATTTTTGGAGGTTAATCTGGTTTGAAAATATTTCTACGTATATAATACTAAAGAGAGCTATAGAGAAGACTTAGCAAAGTTGTTATGCCCCAAATTTGGCTGATATTTTTGCAGTTCATACAGAGTTTGTAAAGCAAAATGTGGCCAAGACCACATAGTTGCAGCGGAGGATCCATGCACAGTTATGTTCACCAGGTAACATAAATACAATGTGTATCCTTACAGTCAGGTTTCTTAGAGCATAGATGGTGTTTCTTGGAGCTTTGGGATAGGTGTGACTTTATCAGCTGACTGGGTTCCCACTCAGAGGTGAGCAGTGTCCCTGGAGCCAGAACAGCACTTGATTCTGAGGAAGAGGATTGTTTTGCTGCCCTAATGCTGTTGAGTTAAAATGTTGCAATGCCAGCTCCCAACATCTGATACAGCACCTATGTGACCAGTTCTACCTGGGATTCTGCTTCAGTTTGGAACCTATCTGTGTATTTCTGTACCACAGTGCAGTATAGTTCATAGTCTGTCCTACAACAGTAGGAATCCTCCAGCTTCCACCTTCCTCAATTTCCTTCATTTCCCTACTGTGCTCCTTATGTTATCTGCAGTTGCTGCTTCTTTCAACCAAGTTACTGTAAGGGACAGAACTGTACAAGTGTGTACACAAGGGTGTAGGATGGAAAAGGTATGAATTGCAGAACACTCTTAGTCCAGGAGCAGCATCCAGACAAGCTCCTTGGAGAAAGTGCTGATACTTCTGTTGGCTGGAATTGATTTCCTTGCCTGCAAATGGGAAGCCCCTAGATTGACTCGTGCAATTAAAAAGCAGCCACCACCACTGAACCTCTGAACCAGAAATTGACAAATGTCTGCTTCTGTTTGATCTGGCGCAGGCTTCAGCCACTTACTGAAAGTGCTTTTTGCTGAAGTTAACTTGCTTCATATGGGTGCTTGTTAGGAAATGTTCCAGTGTAGTACCTCAAGAACATTTGGTTCACAAACACTGAAAACTGGTGTAGAAGGTTTCATGGTGTTGCACTGAACAGAAACAGGAAGGAACTGAGCTGGAGCTTTTTGCAACCCTGACACAATCACAGCGGTGTGTGTGTATGTGAGCCTTGAAAGGCCACCTCTGCTGTAAGTCTAGAAGCTGAGTGTTGGGGAAGCAGGCAGTTTAGGGAAATGCGGTTTTGTTTGGTTTGTAAATAGGTTTGAGCATTTAGAAGAATTGTTGTAGAAAGGGAGTCTTTGGAGTTCTCTTTGTTTGAAGGTCTCCTGGAGAAGTAGGGGGGAAGGCATTTTTTCCAAGGGATGTCCATTTTGTGGCTCTGATGTTCCCGAGAGCTTTTTGTTGCATGGAATTTCAGCGAGGAAGTGCCATAGAGTTGATAATTCTGTTGCAGGGCTTGCTGTTTTCCTTGGAATTTCTCATCTCAACAGAGATGAGATTATTAGAAGCACCTGCTGTATTACCCAGTGCTGGTCAAATGCTGACTTGCTTATTGCCATCCTCTCTTAAAAGAGGCTATTGATCCATCCACAGGGTTCATCTGGATGGATCTGAGGCTGTGAAGTGTTGTGGATGGTATTTGTTTTCTCCTGTTGGTTTCCACTTCTTGGAGGGTTTAAGCAGTAGCTGCTTTATGAATGTTTGGTCAGAGTTGTTTCCTTCTCTACTTTGCTGCTTAATTTTTATCTGTGTGTATCATCCAGTTTTTGGTTCCTGCTTTTCAAAATTAGACTGTTTATTGTTGTTAGCAGTAGCCCAGCACTGGCACTTGACCGTAACAAATAATGTATTTTGCTCATGTGTTTTCTTGTGAAAACGCTCTGGGCTTAGGCTTCTCAGTTAGTTTCATTATTTGCTTTGTGTCCTGGGTAAAATGTTACCATTCCTGGGGGCTTAGGAGTTTAGTTGTTAGCATCTCTTGGTCATCTGCATTTGATGTTCTCGTGGAAATAAAATTAAGTGAAATGCTGAAATATAAGTTTAGGTTTAATTCCTTTACTGTTTTTCTTCTAGAACAAATTCTGTACAACATAAAACAGGAGTACAAACGCATGCAGAAGAGGAGACACTTAGAAAATAGCTTCCAGCAGACAGATCCTTGTTGTTCTACTGATGCACAGCCACATGCATTTCTTCTTACTGGACCAGCTTTGCCAGGTAACCAGAGCATTCTGTGTAATTTTGGTGTGCGTTCTCAGATTCTGAGGAAATAATTTTCCCTTGTTGCCACCTGTATTGTTGCACTTTCTCACCAGCTACAGTTTCCTTTTTGGTGGGGGGGGGGGGGCAATAATAGCATTAATCTGGAAGCTTACCAGGTTTTCTTCTTTCCCTGTCACTGATCTTGTAATAGGCAAGGTTACAAAGCTGCTGTCTTTGCAAAAATACATTGTGGTTTTAATATAAAATAGAAGCTTGAGTTTGTAAATGGCAACTGTCATTTGTGCTACACTGTGTAACACTCCTGGTTTTTGAAAGAGATGTCCTCCTTTTACAGCTAAGATTCTCTTTAATTTGAAGTTTTGAAGTGGCTCTTGAAACTCTTGAGAGAAACACAGAAACTCTTCTCCAAATAATTTGTAAAATTCCTTTAGCATAAAAGGTGTGAGGAAAACAGGTTATAGTACTGGCTCTGAACTCCTTGCAAGCAGGATTTGGGTTATGCTTCAATATTTTTGTCTTAGGTACTTCATCTGCAGCATCATCACCATTGAAAAAAGAACAGCCTCTGTTTACTCTCAGACAAGTTGGAATGATCTGTGAACGTTTGCTGAAAGAACGTGAAGAGAAAATTCGTGAAGAGTATGAAGAAATTTTGACCACAAAACTTGCAGGTATATTAATAGGTCAAAATAATGTGCTAGCATGAATTCAAAAGCTTTTTTTTTTTTCTTCTCATCTTTGTATTATGCCATGGTGTTTTTTTTCCCTGAGTTAGTCTGATGAAGGAATGAGATTGCATACAGGGCAGATAAAGCTGTGTAGACTCTTTGATAGGATTTTCTGTTCTGCACTGCTTTGGATAGAAACTGTGACTCCTGGGTATTACTAATCAATGGAAACAGAGGTTTTATTTCACACAGAACTTTCTCTCGCTGCCGTGTTGGAATTGATCATTTCCTCTTCATTTTTTTTTGCCAGAAAGACTTTCTATTTTACTTCTTTAAGAGCTCTTTGTGAAGGATTTTTTTTTTTTCCTGCTTGGAAACTGACTTCCTTTTTCTGGAATTTGGCAAGAAGACACAGTACCTAAGATTTCCCTTTCTCTTCCCAGTACTTACATTACACTGCTGCCAGTGGTGTTGGGTAGCTGCTTCAGTGTCAGTAATTTAGCTGCATTTCTGTTCCCCTGTGTTGAATTCTTGCATTTTCTACCAATCAGCCTCGTGTCAGCTTAGCTTTTGATAAGGATCTTGTTAATGCCAGCATTGTAAAAAGGACTTTTCTTCAGTTGTCAGTGTCTTCTACTTCTAAGTGCTTTGCTAACATCTGAGGACCTAATTTTGGTGTGTTCAGAGATAGGTGCCTTCACAATATGATGTGGTGTCTAGTGCTTAGTATGATTGTAACGAGCATTTCAGGACACTCTTTGGCAGTGAGCTTGCTTTTGAATACCTGTTGCCTTTGTGTCCCACCTGAAAACCCATCAGATTAAAGTTAGCAAATCTCTGGATTCAGGAGCCAGGCCTTCTGTGGCGTCGCCCCTGCGGAAGGTCACCAGGCTTGTGTCAGACTGCTGGGTTGCACACAGCGGCCTTGTGTCTGCACCTGAGTCTGTGTTCACGTTCTTGTGCTTTCTGATCTGCCACCCTGAAGTCAGTGTTTTTTCAGTATATAACTAGCCCTATATACTTAAGTTTTCTTTGGACCTAATGTTTCATTTCTAGATTTTTCTTTCTTAACCTGATTCAGACTGATTAATTGAAACTAGAGTCTTTTTTTTCTTCTAACTTATGTATGCTAGGAATGGAGTCCTTTCTTACATTCTTAGATGCATTTCATTTAGCAGTGATGATAATAACTAATTGAAGACCAGATAAGCTCATTGATTTGTCTCAGTCTTTGAGTCCAACTTGCAGTTCTTTACAGCAAGAACCTCTGGGATTGTGTGCTCTTGTGTCAGTCTGAAAGGGAACTTCTGGGAAGGGGAACAGCACCTTCTCTCAGGGCCCGAGGGCAGCATACAGTGAGATGAGATTACGTTTATTTCCTTGTAGGGTGATCTCCAGAAGAACTAGTTATTGCGTCCCATATATCGTACCAGTAGTGAATTCTTAGTATTACATAGGAGTTTAGAAATAAACTGCCAGAAGCATTGAGCATAATTCCTCCCACAGAAGACCACTTGCATCTTTCTGCTGACAGAAAGTGAGAGTGATTATATCCTTTTCTTAGCTCTGTACAGTGAGGTGATAACTCATTCTTACAGACTAGTGAAATTAATGAAAATGTAGCTGGAAATTGTGTAACGAATACTGACTAGCTTCTTTCAAGTGACTGAATGGAATTTTTGAATATTTTCTTCATTCCTTTCCTGAATCATGCTTTTCTTGGAGGTAGTTAGCCAGATACTGCCTTTTTTGTTTTCCTCTGCCATGTTCTTTGTGAGCAGAATTGCTTTTCATGTAGTGAGTGATGGAGTGATGAATGGAAAGGTGAGGTCTCTGTAATGCCCCGATTTCCCCTCCTGTCTCTGTTATTTGAAACCTCTGTTAGTGTAAATTTGGGTTTGCAAAATCCTTTGCAGATTTGAGAACCAGAGGGAAGACCGCAAGGGGCTAAGTGAAACCTCTGCTTAAAAACAGTTCTAGAACCCTCTTGTGAAAAATAGCTCTATTACTGCAGTTCAAGTTATGTATTCATAGTAACAGGGCTTGTATTTCTGGCATTTAGCCATCTTTTGACTTGAAGTAGCTAAAACCTGTCCTAGGGGGTTCCAGTGGTACAAGTATCTTTACAGGTGTTCGTTTCAGTTTTCATCAGTTTACTATAGATCACTTTTACCTTTGGATTCCTTAGCTTTCTTATGCTGAATGCCACAAGAAGGGGTTTTTCATTAAGTGTAGATTCTTAAAATTACCAAAACCAGATTTTTAGCAGAGACGGTGCTACAAAGTGGCTGTGTGTGTGGACTTAAACCTGTAAAGAGGAAAGCTCGTAGGTTTATTTCTGGCCTTTAAAACATTCTTTCAGGAAAAGTTCTAGTTGCTGTTGGTTTTGGAAATGGTTTCTGGGCATCGAATCCTTCAATCTGCTCTTTGTGTTATTTTGTTGTTTGGCTACGATCCTCACGTGGCTGCTGAAAAGCCATCAGTCAGAACTGCAGTGAGACAGAGGTTGTGCTTGTGGGCAGAGGGGAACTGGCCGCCACGGTGCTGGGCCCAGTGCTGGGCCCGCTCGCTCAAGGAGGAGCGTCCTCAGATGGCCGGGCTTTGGGCTGCTGCTGCACTGCTTGCTGATTACTGATACGCTGTTTACTTCAAAGGTGAAGCTCCTCCCTGCAAGAGGATGGGGACTTTAATGGGGCAAACCTGTGGGACTAGGAACTGCTCCAAATCTAACTGCATTTTTGGTTGAAGATTGCCTTCTTTGACCTTGCCCTTTTCTCAGAACACCCCACATTGCTGCACATGTATTTTTCCACAAGGGAGGAAGGGGAATGGAGAGGAGCGGCATCTGGTAGATATTACTCTCCTTGTTCAATTTCCTAGTTCTGAAAGGTGATATCCTGCTGATGAGTGCACTATTAATACTGAACAAAATATTGTGAATGTATGGATGTGTGCATAGAAATGATAGTATTTCTGGGAAATAATGCTTAGTTCAAAGCCAGGTAAATACGTTTGATATCTCAGTTCCATTTCAGATCACTCAGTGGCTCTTCTCATGAAGTTCAGAGTCAGCTGCATCTCCCTGTTGTGGCTGCTTTTGTGACTAGAATTAGTCAAGCGTTAGCCACTTCACATCTCAGCTTTTAGTTTGTCTGTGCTTTTGATTTCCTGGCAGAAAGTATTTCTAACTCTGTAGCAAATCCTTTTCCCATACTTCTTTGTTTCCATTTCATTAATTTTTTTACATCTGATAGTGATAGGAGCAGTGAGAAGTTACACTTCCAATGCTAGCACTGACCATAATGCCACGTTTGCTTAACTCCTTTGCCTGTAATAGGCATCTGTGAAATGGGCACATTGAGTTACTTGAAAACATTCTGACTTAGCAGGTACTAGGTATATTGAGATCTTTGTGTGTGCATGTGATGCACTTATCTGGGAGAGTACTACTGCTTTTCTGTGGGAAATCCTTTTAATTTGGGGGACGTACTGCAGTGTTGTTCTTTGGGATTGGAGAAGAATGGCAGCTGCGAGCTGTGTGAAGGCACTTGAAGCTACTCCTAGTGGATGTGTGTTTAATTGCTATGATCTGTATGGTATGAAAAGTAGCCTTAAATATTTTTCAGCCCGAGTTAATCTTAACACTCACACTTGTAACGTTTCATGCTTGCAGAACAATACGACGCGTTTGTGAAGTTCACGCATGATCAAATCATGCGACGATATGGAGAACAGCCCGCCAGTTGTGAGTATCGATTTCCTCCGCTTCCTGCAGCAGCGTTAGGTGACTGACCTTGCGGTAGCTTACATGGCCGTTGTTTGATGCTGGGCTTCAGCGAGGCCCCGCGGTACAAATGCTTGACGTTGTCAGTATGGAGAGTCAAGGTTGAAAGGAAGACGTGTGATAGAATGCGGCTCTCGCTTAAAACACGGAGCCGTCTCCCATTCCATGCTGATTTTCGGAACAACTTTGGGTGCTGCCATAGCAGATTTGCACAGACCCGGCTCTTTAACTGCATTATTAATCCTTGTTTTTTTTCTCTTCGCAGACGTTTCATGAATCACATTTTCTGCATATGTGGGCTGCCCTATCCACCCCGTTTTATTGTTGCAAGCTGTCCCAGTAATGACTTGCAGCAATGCCATATTTTTTCCCCCTGTGAACACAGGTTATTTCAAGCTTTTGTCAGTGGCAACCACTCTTATGCAGCAACTGGTTTTGGAGTGCTCCCTGATGTCAGTACCACCTGGATGTGGACCTTTGCTACCTGTAATAATACCAGTGGCCTCATTTGCTGTATCATTACAATTTGGCTTCTTATGTTAATAAGTTTGAAAAAGTAAAGGATTAAAGCTGATGTTCTAGAAGTTGCCCTTCACTGGTTGTGTAAATAAAAATGTAGAATGACACTTCTGACTGAAGTTAGTGTGGTTTTCATAACTGTGCACTACAACAAAGCTGTAATCACAGTTAAATTAGAATGTAATCCCAGGACAATTTTAAGCAAATAGCCCACAGTACTGCCTGTGAAATAGTGAAGGAGGGCATTTCTGTATTCCATGACTTTTTTGGGGGTTAAGAATGGGTTTATATGATTTCTCATTTTTGTAGTTTTTATTTATTCTCTCAGTCTTTAACAAATGTTTATTGCTGCAATTTTTCAGTGTATCATTGTTTTACTGCCCTTGTAGTACTGGAATTTAGTTGGAAGAATAAAACATTTACTTCTAATCTGTTTGTTTTTAATACGCAGGTGGAACTTTTGCCGTGTGTGAATAAACTGAAATCTGAGTGTTTAAATGAAAACTTTATTTACCAGCAGCAGTGGGTGGGTCAGAATTTTTAGACAAGGAAAAAAGTGGATGAAAATGTTACGTAAGCCTTCAGAGGCCGCAAATTGTGTTAGGTTGGATGCGGTCTGTAGTTACGGAGGCATGTTTGTTATACAACTGCCAGCGCTGCTTTAAGCGACTGCCGCTGACTCAACAGCTGTGCTCATCTTCCTTCAGTTCTGAGTGACACATCAAAGGAGATGTGCTCACAGATAGAGCGGCTGCTTGCACCACAAGCTGCAACTACCCAGGTGCTGGGAGAGCTGGAGGTGTGCAATCTCTGTGTGCTGGTCCAGGAGTTTGTTCTTAGATACGCTCAGCTGTTTCCAAACTGCTGTATCAGGGGTGGCTGCCGTTGTCTGTGCCGTTCTGAGTCACTGTAAATGACTGAAATGTTGTTGCTACACGGTGATTCCAGATCTCTGTGCCATGGGTACAAGTATTGCTCATCACATTACTTGGATTATGTTTCTGGGACTCGGGAGCTTTTTTGAAGTAATCTCTTGGTTAAAGTGTTCTCTGCATTCACTTACTGTCAGCCTCCGCTTAAGTGGAAGTCTGCATGCCTCCACTTCAAATTAATGGGGAAAAGTTTTAGTTGAAATGTAATTGTAACTTCAGCTGGTAGATCTACACAGTCGTAGGGTTCTAGAAAAGCCATGTGAGTTGGCTTTTCATGATGGCTCTGCATGAATTTTATTTCCTTTAGTAGTGACATAGGTGCAGAACTATGCACAAAGTCGCAGTATCTGTTTTCTGCATGCTTTCCCAAAGTCTATTTGACTTTATCTGACCTCTAAAAAGAATATTTTCTTCTTAACTGCATTTCGGAACGGTCGAGATAAGAACTCTGTTACTTTTGGGTCTTCCATTGCTGAACATAATGACAAAACTGTTGGGGGCTGTCACTTCTGTTTTCTGCCTTGGGGTTCTCAGCCCCTCCTTACTCCTTCTCAGATCCCCACGTGTTCACCTTGTCCAGACAAGGAAAGCACCCAGATGGACCACTGCAGAATGCCAGCAGAATGCCATTGCACCTCCTTTATCACCTGTGTTCCAAGGGTCCTCGTTCTGGTTTGATAGAAAACAGTACATTCCTGAGAGTTGGTGGTAGAATTAAAATAACAGCTGTTGTGATTGTGTCTCAGCTTATCTTAACTTTCAGGATATTAAGAGCCATTAGAAACAAGAAGTGATGTCATGCTAGCACCCAGTTATTCCTGTGCTGCCCCACGTTCATGCATAGTAAACAGCCTGCTGGCAGATGAATGCCACGCGGGTGCCTGTGCATCACCGCTGCAGTATGCTTCATCTGCGCCTCTTTGGAAAATAAGGTTGCATTCTTTGAAGTCTTTTTTTTACCTGCTGCTTGGATGGACTCCTTTCTATGAGCTCAGTGATTGATAGCTGATGTGATGACTGTCACACATCAGGCTTGCAATAGCTAGCATGCTCATTGGTGGGAAAATGGCTGGCTGCTTTTTTTCTATGGTTATGCGATGGAGTCTGGTGGTGCTTAAAGAACACATCTGCTTTGGCAGCTTTTCAGAGGTGTTGTGGAGGGCTTAGAGATACATTAGAAAGGGGTAAGAGTAACTTTTTTTTTTTCTTCCCTATTTCTATTTATCTGCAGTCCAAAAGCAAGGCAAATAGAGGGCAGTTCATTGCAGCTTTGCAGCGTTAAAGATCTTGGTTAACCTGTTTTTAAGATAGTGATGCTTAAAATCTTTCCAGGCAGACTTTGGTTACTGTAAAGTGAGAAAGCAGCATGTACATTGTGTGTTGATTTTTGTCTAGATAAGGAAGCACGTAATAAAGATTCTTCAGTGTTTTTCAAAGCTGAAAAGGAAGGGGATGTGTGCAGTCCTGTGCTGGTGCTCGAGACCTGCTATGTGGTCTTATACAGCAGGACTGTTACAGCAGTGTGGGCAGGAGCTGTGCTGTGAAGGCTCGCTCTGGTCATGAGCTGGTCATTGGGAATGATTTACCTGTGTGATTCCACAGCCGGTTTGTGCTCCCATTGTGGAGCATTGCTCGTGACTTTGCAGAGAAGTAATTCTCAGGTGAAATATGTGAGGATGAATGTTTGGCTTTAGCAGTGGTTTGTCCTGCCTTACTGTTGCAATAGGATCTTTCACTGTTTACCTTCTCAAGTTTCTTGTGTTTGAAATCAGCAAGGAGGCTATCAGGGAACAGCAAAAACCTTCAAATGTTACAGCAGAGAAAAACAGTGAATTCTTCCAACAGTGAACGTTCAGGGTTGAGGTTTCTGCAGTACTGCTGAAAGCTGCGGGCACTGCATACAGTACGTGTCAGCTACGGTGAGCGAGGGCGAGTTCTGAGTATTTACAAGAAATGTAAAAACATTGAGAGAAGACAAATGCATTCTACATGGGCACATCGTGTACTTGTTAAAGATTGCTTCCCTTTATTACTGAATATTTGAGCTCTTTAGGTCTGAAAGTGAGCTGTTGGGGCCCAGTCTAGTGTTTGGCTACATTAGGTGGCAGGTTGCAGGCAGTGAGGTGCGCTTGGCTGCACGTCCTGCTGAGCAGTCAGATATTGGGCTGTTCTGCTGCTCACTTCCATTTTTCAAGTGTAATTGCAAGATAAATAGGCCAGGTTGAGAACACAGAATGCTTACGTAGCATTCCACAACTACTGAAATGTCCTTTCTGCTTGGAAATTTCACAAGTACAAATGCCACCAGCTTGGGCTCTTGAGTTGATTTGGTGGGAGAGAGGAAATTTCAGTTGCTCCACAAGATCCTAGAAGTTCTTGCTTTGAGTTTTTGTCGAGATGTTTCCGACGTTGCAGGATTAGGCATTATAAAGGCTGGTAACTCTTCTTCTTGCTCAGCCTTGACACCATTCAGAACATAGTACAGCAGGAAGCATTGTGTCTCTGCAGTTATAAAGACGCAAAAATACGTGGCTCCTGTTCTTTCTCAGGATACTTTAACATAACTTCTATCTGCTCCTGGGAAATAGCTTAAGTTCTAGGTTTTTGTGATAGGACTTACCCTGTTCTTGCACAGCTGTATTTTACTCATGTGATTCAAACTTCAGAGCTCTGCTATCATTCCCAACTACTGTATGAAGGCTGGAGTACAATGCAGCAAAGAGGAAAGCATCAGGATTCCAGTGACAGCTGAATGTCTGCACCCAGTGCAGCACTTACATACCTCTAACCAAAGGAAAGCAGAGGCAGTCAGCTGAGAGTCTGGAAGGTGTTCTTGGTCTTTTGCAATAAGCTGAATAATTACCATTCAGCTTAGCACAGTCTAAATGTTTTTCTAACAGTGCAGCCCTTTGCTGGGTAATGAAGGCTGAGCTGAAGGCTCCAACCATACAGCTGAGCTGCTGCAGCCTGGGGACAATCATGTTTATCATGCATAGCAGACCTTCGCCCTGTTCTGGAGGTAAAAGCAGCTTTTCCTTGTTAGTTTGGAAGGGTTTTTCCATGATTGGAAAATGGGACAATGACATCAGCATGAACTCATTTGCTGCCCAAATTTGAGTGCGTAAAGTTAAAGCTTGACATGTAAGACGCGTAGCATAGCTTGTGTGCGGCAGAGAAAAAAGGGGTCACTTGGGCAGTGCCAGGGCTCAGCATCCTGGCTTTCTCACTGCAGGGCCAAGTGCCTTCACAGGATCTGTCCCCAAGGCAGTTACTGGCTGAAGATGCCAGGAGAGCAGTGCTTTAGTGCTCCTAGCCAATAGATGACACAAATTCCCCAACAGCAAATTAGCTAGTGCTGGTCAGCTTCACTGGAACAATGTACAGCTTGCTTCTCTCGCAGAGAACAAACACCTGCACTGTCATAATTCCATCCCTCCCTCTTCCTTCTGATCAAGTTTTTCAAGGTGCTGTGATGACTTCTGGTTTGAAGGACATGGAGCAGCTGCTGAGGGTGGGAGCTTGGTGTCTTTTTTTTTACTAAATGTGTAGTTCAAGGATCTGGAATGCATTTTATAATGATGATTCAATTACTATCTGATCATGAGCAAGTTAATGCTACTGCTTCATCACTGCTGCAGCTGACACATCCAGTGTTCTCATTTTGGCTTGGTAGCCTGAATTATATCAGTATAGCGTTGACTATCCTACATCAAAGAACATTAAAACGAGTGCAACGCTGCAGTACTTGGATCATGAGCAGTACATTACAGTATGGAGGCAGATGTTTAAAAACAAAATGGTTACTGAAGTTACTCGGAACACAGCTCAGCATTCAGTCATCTCCAACACTGACTCAGTTACACAAAGACTGGTTGAGTGGGAGCACAGCCATTGCACCAGGTTACAAAGAACAGCTTTATTAAGGTTGTGGTGGCACATTAACAGCCTCCCCAGGTCAGCCGTGCCACATGATCCGTCTTCTGCTTGCTGGGCTTTATGAAGCCCAGGAGTTCCAGTTCAGAAACAGCTCGAATAAAACGAGCGCTGGACACGTCTGTAAAGGAAACTCTTTTTATGGCAGTAATTGACAGGGAAACCATTATGTTACAGAGGGAAAGACTTCTAAGTTACAGCATGAATACAGGACACAAAACATTGTACTGTGCGCTAGAAGTGTTGGAAATGAGGACAGAGCACTGCCAGCCTATGGAAGCACAAATATTCAACCAGTATTTCTTCTTGCCACCTGAATACAATGTGGTAACAAAGGAAGAGTTCCTTTACACGCTGCTAAGAAAAGCATAAAACCTACAAATATATTAATTCTCTCAGAAGAACGTCCCTTGACAAGAAAATAGGAAGATAAGTAATTATAGATTTTTTTGGGGGTGGTTTCATAAAAGAGCATCAGCTTTTCTTTACTCACTATTCATTATATCCTTACTGCATCATGTCTGACACAGCTACATGACTGTGAGATAAACAGAACTTAGCTTTGTGTTAACTACCTGAAGGAAGGACAGGTGTAGCATTACAGCATATGTATGTTCTCCTTGTAGTTTGATCTCCTCTTCTGCAACCGTTCATCCCTGTGGCAGCACTACTTGCAGCCAGCACTTCTGGTTCTAATGCTTATTCTTCAGATATTCTGCAGGCTTTGCTTCAGAATCAGGACTAAGTAAGTGAGAAACAGAATGAATGTTTCATGTGAACTAAAATTCTCAGCTTCAAGGTACCAGAACTTAATGGTTTCTGCAGAGATAATCCTGTGTAAGCATTTCCTTTGCTACTGCTTCCATTTTCCTCCTCAGAACAACCTACCATCTCTTCACCTCCCCTCCAGGGCACAGATCTCCTACCATCTTTTGCTCACTAATGCTCTCTCCCCATACGTGCACATGTACCAACACTCAGATGATTTAACTCAATAGAGTAGCTTCATCTTGTAAGGTCTGTAGCTTCCCTTTCAGATCCAAAATGCTCCTTCGGTCAAAAGCTGGTCTTACCTCACAGCCTCCAGCCCAGGTATCTCAGGTGATCCATTCCTCTGACATTTTCATTACCTTCAGACTGCCTAAATTAGTTGACTTGTTTTTTTCTTGCAGCTGCATTTCAAAAATCTTATACTGATCCTGTAAGCAGTTGAAAGCCAAATTTGAGACAGAAACGAGAAAGGATACTGTATAACATCATCCACCTGGTCTGAGGAAGCTGCAGCTGCAGTTGGTCCCTCAGCTGCTGTCACCACAGTCGAGAAAGCCTAGAAAGGGAAAAGCAGCACAGAGCTAACCATCTCATCAACAGGTGGAGCTTCATTTAAAAGAATGAGCTTTGAGCTAAGTGCAGTCACTTGGGAGGAATGAGATCTTGGAACAGTAGCTCCATGAGAATGTCATCTTCACAGCAATCCAAACAGCAAGCGAGGTTACGTGTTACCATCACAGAATTACAGAAGGAAAGAATGTCACCCTATGAACTCGGATGCTTACATTTTAAATTCTAGTTCCTGACCAGTTCTGAGTAAAAAAAATACAGAAAGCAAGACAGTTTAAACAATCTGGAAAGATTAACTTGGCTATAAAAGTCAGTGACATGAGGAAGCTTGATAGGGAGCTGATGTCTGCATCCTCTTCAAATACCAAAACAAGGCAGCAGCAAATGAAGCACATTCAGAACACGGAAAAGGAATGGCGTGGGCTTGTGGGTTGCAGGTGCCCACAAGATGTGGTTGCCAAACACTTGCAGTGCTCATGGAAACCAGTTGGACTTCCAGAATACAGAGAAACGTTGGAAATAAGGTTGTAAGGGAGTAATAGAGAATATATAATTTATGCACGTTCTCTTTTTATATTTTCTGGTTTTGGTATGGAACAGGGTTCCGAGCTTGAAGCTTTGGTCTTCCCTCACATAAGCATTCTGCCCCCAGAGCACACACTTCAATGGCAGCACTTGCTCATTTCCATGAAAACATCCCAAAATACTTCAAGAGGGGAAAAGGTAGCTTTGTGAAGCATAACATCTCATCTCCATCAAACATAAAAGGAAGCAGAAGATTTCCTCACAGAGCAATAATGCTGGAAATGAAAGATTCATAGTAGGCAGAAGACCTGCCCATAGCAGGGGGGCTGAAACTAGGTGATCTTTATGGTCCTTTTCAACCCGGGCCATTCTGTGATTCTATGAAAACTCTCCAGGCCAGTGACCTGGAGACAGCATGCGTTCTTGCACAGGGGAAAACTGAGGCATTCACTGAGCTCAGGTGTCAAAAGAGGCACTAAACAAGAGCAGGTAAGCAGCAGAAAGGTAAATCAGCAGAATAGTGCAAGCAGGCACAGGCACGGTTTGCACTGTTACGTACCTCTAACCAATCCACGAGGTTAATCAATCTGCCACACTCCAAATGAAGCTTGTAGGCAATGCATATGTCAGGAGCTTTGTTAGAAATGCTTCCTCCATCACTCTTCAGTGCTTCACTCTGATGAAAACCAAATACAGTGATTTTGGTCAGTCTTTAATCTTCAACGATCTCTAGTGCTGAATATAACATTATTTCAGGAAATGCACACGGTGGGTATTTTAACCAAATGTTTGCTGCTTATGTGTTCAGTGAGAAGTTGACGGTGCAAAGAAGAAAAAACAGAAAGAAGAAAACATTAAACAAACCCCTCCCCCCCCAGCTACTCCTTCATTCTCCATTTGAACACTTATCTGATCTGGCTTTTCTTATTTCTCTTTCTAGTTCCGTTCATGTATCTCAGATACATGGCCTGCTCTATGGATTCAGGGAGAGAAACGTGTCACATTTTATCTCAGACTTTTACCATGTAGTAATTAAAAAGGTGTCACATCTCCCCCCACGCCCACTCCAGAAAGGAAAGAGAAAGTCATAACATAGATCGCACGGACTGAAAAAGCAAAATTGCTTTCCTCATCTCAGATCTTTATCTTTGAAATGTCACAGTCATTTCTCTCCGGCTTTAAACTCAAGACCTATAAAAGCAGAAGTCTGATGTCTCACAAACTGTTCTATATGTCAGGAAATCCAGGTCATCAGCACTGAACCATTTATGAGTAAAAGAGCCACTTGAGCTACAAGAAAAAGTCTGTGCATAGCTGCAGGATATTTCATCTCAGTTGGTAATTTTTGCTCAATTTTCAGTTTCATACACACTAAGAAGCCAACTCCCTTAATAAAACAATTACTGATTATTCCTTTCAGTTCCCAGAAATTTTTTGTTAAAATGCTTGTATACACTAATAAAACATGGCAGCAAATATGCCAGAGTTGGGAAGTCCATAAAGCCCTAGCAAGGATGCCTTCATAAATCAAAGCTTTTCAAGATAGGAAAGGCAGCTGGGCAAAAACCACAGCTTTGCTCAAGAATCTCCAGTTTACATTTTACACATCACAGTTCTGCAATTTTTGAGACTCAGATTGAGTATGGATTCCAACGCTTCTGAGGCATTTCACAATGACCAGAATAGCTAACAATTTCCAAGTTTATTTTGTTTTATTTTACAGAGAACACAGAAGCCGCTGATGTTAGCTAAGATGGCCTCCAAATAAATCCAACACTGCAGCTAAAACCTCAAAACGTGACGGTATGGTGCCCTAGTCCCCAACACTGATGTGTCACCAAATGGCACAGCCAAGCTCCACTTCGGGGCGACCTGAAGGCTCAGCAGTGCCCAGAGGGGCAGCTCTGCACCTCCTTTCCCCTCCTCTCCTCTCCCAACTCTGCCTTTCCACCACTCACCCCTCATGCTGACTCTGGCACTGTTGGACACTGCATTGATTTTCTAATTTTACACAAATGATTCCCTGCCCACTGTTAGGGCTTTTGTTTTGTTTTTAATACCAGCTAGATAGCTGGTAAAAACCCTAAGTGGCTTAGGAGAGCACCCAGCAAGCATTACAGCAGATCTGTGGGGAAGAAAGCCCCCGAGCTGTCCCTGTAGGGCACCACCAGAACAACAAGCAGGAATCCGCTCGAAGACGAGCAGCCAGTTGTGAACCCCGCTATGGAGCTCAGAGGTGCTGCTTCAGAAAGCGAAGACTATGGGATGGGAACAACCCAGCTCACTCCTGAGGCTTCTCATGTTGCTTGATCCTGCCCCAGGGGCCAGACAGAACATCCTCAGCCTTGCTCTGGATACAGCATTGTCGCATTTCCTAAAGTGCAAATGCTTGTATCCCCTCTTCCTGTACAAGAGTTTAATTGCAACTCAAGGATTTTTGTTTTACAGTAGGGCTTCTTCCTTGAGATCAAGGTGAAAAATTGCCCTTTCTGCACAAGGTCAAGAACAAAACTTCCAAGATCATCTAAACCCTAGAAATATCCAAAAATGACATTTTCTTGTGCTGATACAATTCTAAGCAGTGAGCTGCTGATACTCCAAGTTACAACTTGCTGCATTTTCAAGGGATCAATGAGAACAGAATGACACTTGGTTTTGTGCGCATTTCTTCTCAGAATAAATCTGACCTCTGGTTCACATTTAGCGAAATAAATCACTGGAACTGGACTCCTGTAAGAAATGCATCACATCGTTAATCATTTGCTGGTACTCCAGTGAAGCAGATCCTTTCCTGTCCTGGCCCTCTGGGAGGAACAGCTCTAAAGAACTTTGCTCTGGTCACATCCCAGGAAAGAACAAGCCATGTGGAAGTTGTGGATACGATTCAGACAAACAGTTCCCGTGACTCACACGGATTAAAATGCTAAGCAAGGTACTTGCTGAATACTGCTGCTACTAGAAACTATACCAAAACTTTCACCGTTTCCTCAAACGTCAAAATGTGTTTGTTAAGTATGTTAAAGTATGTCAGAGTGTTAAAGTATGTCAGAGTGAAGTGCAGGATGACAGAGGACTTTACATCCTATCAATTCATCAAAAAGAATACTTATTAAACACATCAGTAACCAGATCCTAATCATTACATGTTTCCTGAAACCATTACTGATGTTTATATTCAAGGTCTCTTCTATGGCAAGCCCACTCAGTTCCATCTTCACCTAAAAGGTCTTCAGGTGATTTTAGTAAAACTCTGCACACAGCAAAACTGACAACTCTTTTTCAAAGAGAAGCACAGTGCCAACAAACCCAAACCAAACTGTGCTGTAGATTTAAAAGACTGATCACTTTCTTTCCGGTTTCTGATAATTAAGTGTTGACTTCAACTCAAGTAACAAATAAGCACCCGGATACAGATAATACCAGTGTCCTCTTTAACTTTTTGAGAGGAACATTAGGACGTGAGGATAACCCTGTGTATCATCTCTAATCAAGGATAAAACAAGTAAATAAACATCTACTCCTTCTCCAAATCCTGTGCTATTCCTTCCTTTATGTGAATTTCCTTCCATCGCGTGGATTTGATGTAAGAAAGAAGAGGGAAAAGGGCTTTTTTTTCTTCTCCAGCTAAAGGTCAGCTTAACTAACAGAATCCATAACAATCCTTTTCTTGGGCTCAGACAGGATATCGATTTACAGCAGATATTAAAGTAAACGTAAAACAAAACAGACTCAATTAAATCCCCTTTGTAATTTTCATCACATCTATTGTAAATTTCCTCACTGCACTGAGCAGAGCCTGTGCCTTACAGCACGTCTGCAAGTCTACACAGTGAGGACTATGACCAACCCTGCAAAAGACGTCTCTGGAAAAAGCCATAGACACTATTTTTCCCCCCATGCACGCAGTCCTCCCATTCATAGCAACTATAAAAGAGAAGATCATCACTAGAACAGGCTTTGGAAAACAGCTTTCCCATATAAAACTCTTTCCATAATCTGCTCCTTTATTTCAGCCAGACAGATTCCCCACCTCGTAGCAAAGTTCCCAGTTGCTTATCATTGCTGACGTGCTGGCCCACTACAAAACAGCTGGGCGTGTGCCAAACTACATGAAACAGCAAAACTAAGTCTTTAACATCATCCTCGTGTACAGTCTTGAGAAACTATTCCAGCACTGCAAACAACCCCCTTGTTTCTTACCTTCAGGTAGGAGTACGGGTTATTCAAAGCTGTGTGCAGTGCAATCCTCGGGGCAGCATTCAGGTGCTCGCGGAGAACACTGGCTGTGTTGAAATACACGATCTCATGCAGAGTCTTGTGGTCTGCTGGAACAAGGTAACGTCTGAAAAAATAACGAGGCATGGGGCGAGGGGGTGAGATACGAGCTTTACCTTAAGGGAGAGCAGAACGCTGCTGCAGTTGGAGACTGCAATAATGTATTATGACCAATATTGGCACATCTCAAAAAACAAGATGAACGGGGCCAAAATGAATTTCAAAGCAAAGAAGTCAATGATTATCAACTCTACATCATATAACGGAAGAATCACCAAGGTTGGAAAAGACCTCTAAGATCCTCCAGTCCAACCATCACCCCACCACCAATACTTCCTCGCTACGCCATGTCCCTCAGTACAACATCTAAAGATTTCTTGATCTAATTGATTTAGTCTAATGGATTTAATTTAGAATTCTAGCTGGGCCAGAGATAAATTCAAAACTAAGGGCATAAATGCTATCACCAGTCATGTAACTCCACTCCACAGATCTTACTTATCCATCTTGAGGCATCCCCATGAGTCTTTGTTCAACTCTACTTTCAAAAATGAAGCCTTTTTTCTTTTTTCTTGGCTCAGTCATACTTCTGTTAGCTTCTCTATTCCCACCCATGCCACCACACTCTCAGCCCGCAACTTCCCTTTGCTAAAGCTGTACAGTAATAAGTGCCTTCATCTCTTAACCCACACACCCCAGGTCTTTCAAATTTCCCGCTACCTTACTGCCTCCAAGATTCTATTTGCTACGCCCTCCTTGCTAAACAGTTCCCAAAATGGCATCTATGCAGTTTCATGAACAGAACAGATCAGCAAAGATTAGAATGAAAACTCTTGGCTAAATTTTTATCATGTACACCCAGTCCTCCCCTCAACTTTATTCTCCAAAATAAGTTTCTCAGTTCACGTGCCAATTACTTCTACTAATCTACTGAAAATAAATGGTTGTAAGAGTACTCGTGAAAGAAACATGGGGGGGGGGGAAGCTTCATACCACAGGGACCAAGAGACAATTTTGACAAGACTTATTCCCATGCTAACTTGTTAGCAGAATTTCTCTTCTAGCATCTAGTGCAAATCAATGCAGAAATATCAAACAGGAAAGCTCACCTTACAAGACTGTCTATATAGTCAACAACTTCAAAACGAAGCGTTTCAAACTTGGTCAGTTTCTTAGACCGCCTTGATTCCTTCAACTCCAACAAAGTCTTTAAAAAAAAGCAGTGCATAAAACTACATGGGAGGTAGTTGCTCTCTGGAGAACACAATCTACATGTTGAACATGTATAATTAATTTTTGCTGGCATGTCTTCATCGATGATGTTAAGAAATGTGATCAAGCAGTTACATTTATTTAGGCCAGTGTATCCAGTTCTCAAACTGGTAGGAGTTACGAAAATTCTTCAGGCCTGAAGCTTGAAGAAATGTGGGTTAGGCAGAAGCATAATTTACAAGTCAAATACAAAGAAATCTCTTAATTTACATGTTAAGATCCTAGTTAATGACAGGTATTTTCTATCATTTTCTACACATCAGGTAGGCCTGACACACACGGTTGGTATTATTACTTCATTTTTCAGAAGAATTACTTATACACAACCTTTACTCAGAGTTCCAGCAAGCAGGAAAGACATAACCACGGACAAATACATCTAAAGAAACATTCAGTTAAAGAACTAGTGAGTAAAGTCAATGCAGGCCTAACCTTCTGGAGATTATAAAGATTTGTCTTCTTCTGGAGCTCTTTTTGGGGCGATACGGACTCATCTCGTTCTTGGTAAGCTTCTGCTACAGGAACAAAACTCATGTTTATTATGTGGGGGTAAACTCTTCCTCCATACCTATATTAACCTCCCAAGTAATTTGAGAAGCATTCAGAGTTACCTGTTTACAGACCTAACACAGGCAGCTTTTGAGTCTCGCCCTTGTAAGAAATTGTTAAAAAGGAGTCAGCAGTGCAGCTTGTCCAACAGTTCTTAAGCAAAGCAATGCGTCCCTGAGAAAAGATCCAGCACAAGCCTTGCACATCACTTGAAATCCACTTAGGTCATTCTGGGTCATAATCTCAGCATTTGTAAACTGGACAGATTAGTGCAAGATAGTATCGATGCTTAATGAACGTTCAGGAAGTCATACACTGCATTTCTTTTCCTTTAGATTCGCAACAAATACCAAATAGGAAATCAGTCCACCCGCTAAATGTAAGAACAGCAACCAGAGTAGCAAACTGAAAGCCTGCTCATGTATTTCGCTAGCCAGATCTATTTTCATCTTAATTTATAAGCACATTTTATTTTCATAGTCATATAGTTCATTGATCAATCCCATCATTAATTAGGGTTTTTTTATGTTGAAAACAAACAAGCAAAACCTCTGACAGAACAATCAAGGCCACACTGAACAATAAAGGTTATGTCCTAATCATAATGTAACTGGCCTTCTTGCCTTATGGACAAAATGTTACCAAGATGGAGATTTTACCTACAGGTCAGAAGTAAAGCTCCCATCAGCAATAACAATCATCGTATACAAATCTTGTTGATGATCTACATAGAATGAATTGGTATTTTCTACTGCCCTGCAGAAAGGCGTCAACAAAATCATCAGTGCAGTTCCCTCAGTATGAACAGAAAAGGTCTAACAGAAAACAAAAATTATCTTCTACAGTTGGTGCTTCGAAACACACCAGTAAAGAGAGCAGGACTGCAGACTGCTGTCTACTTTCAATGTTACAGAATACCAAGTCAATAAACATCTTGCAGTGCTGATTATAGCCATTCTTAGTTCTTGAGAAAAAAAAAAGCTGGCTAACTGTCTAAAACTAACTAATGACTTCAATTTTTATTGAAAGCTATTAAAATGTTCTGGTCCACGATATGAACTAACTGTACTCTAAAGAATTGATCATTAAAATGCATATTTAAAAGCAACCTCATCTTTTCTTCCTCCGGTTCAATGTTAACAGCACGTGTATGCACATGCATGCATTTCTCAATACATTTCTTTCTTGTCAAAAGGTTAAAAAAAGAAAAAAAAAAGTGATGTTATCAGCCCCATTACAAAATTGCTATCAGAGCAATTCCAAAGCCAAAAGGCTTTTAAAAGACCCCCTTACCAATGAATGGCAAAAAATGTATTATCTTGGAATTTTGGGATAAATAGAATTTTATCTGATGTTTCTACTTTTAATTAATCCTTCTGTCAAAATAGACCCAACATAAAGGTATTTTCTTTCCCCAAGATTCAAGTTTTGATTTCTTCTAATTCATTAGGCAGTCTTGGAAAGAACAACAAGAAACAACAACAAAAAAACCATTTGGAACCATTTGGGACCATACGTTCACTGGGGCTTTGAGGGAGATCCAGATACATAACATTTTTTTGGCAGAAAAGTTCAGCTAAAGATCAGCATGACCACAGAAACGTACAGAAAGTCACCTAACTCAGCAACCTACTACTCATTTAAGGCTTATTTTCATTTCCCCCTCTCACTTCATAGCTTAAATCCTCTTTGAAAGCAAACTGAGATAATTCATGGACTCGTTAGACCTTCCTTGTTTTAAAAACTTCTTCAAATCATTTGAAATAAATACTGACTTTTTGTCTCTCAGTTCGTGTGTTGCTGTATTCTCATATGTTCCATCTTGTTTTTCTTTATCCCCCCCAAGGTAAAAATCCAACTATTTGATTGAATACTTCTGGAGATTTTACATTTTGAAGTGCTTTAATTTTAATTTTCCAGACTAGACCAACCATTAGGTTGTCCAATCTAGTTCAGGATCTTCAGTGCCAGCATCCTCAGGGAACGCACATTTATTTGTAGAGCAGTCCCCTCGTTCCTGTACCGCAGCCCTGACATTGCTGCATCTTTCCACAATTACATGGTACAGACAAAAAAAAAACAACAATTTTTCTTCTAAACAAGCCAAGCTTGGCCTACTTGTCCAAACGGAGTGCTGCAGCTCCAACTGAAAATGACCTCCATTTAGGACACATACAAGAGATGAGACGGTAGCTGCTTTATATTCAAAAGAGAAACAGGAGCGAGCACTTCTTTACAGTTCAAAGAAAAGAACCAAATTCCAGTTCCAGACAAATGCTGGAATACATCAGTTCCTGTTTCTGATGGAATATGGCACTTTTTGTTGACTTGTCTCTGAAAGATGGAAAACTGCTGTTCATTTGCATTCCTTGTTTCCATAATGTCCCCCTACTGTGAGTAACCAGCTAAAAGGAGCAAGAAAAGTTACGATATGTCAACAGGGCCATGACAACCAACACTGGTTTAGTTTCCATGTGAATCCAACTGAAGGTTACTGCAATAACTTTATATACATTTGGACTGAATACCACGTCAGAAGGAAATCTGCTTCTGTTTATCTTTCAAAAACTGTTTCGTTAAATATTTTTAGTTAATTGCAACATCTGGTAAAATGCTCAGAATACACATGACAGATTTAGTGAGTAATGTTTGCTGATCTGTCCAATTTCTTATCTTACATCACAATTCTGCCTTAGAAAAGCATGAACCACAAACCAATAAAGCATATAAACATGTCCTAATTGTGTCTTGTATTCAAAAACAATCTTGAAATATCTGACAACTTGATGCAATGAGAGAACATGACCAGGAAAAATACCATTTGCCCAATTATAGAACAGTTTCACTTTAATCTGTAAGGGAACGTATGACGATGCACACCCACCTTCTAGTTTCTGAAACTGGGTCAAGAACTCTTTCAGCTTCTCTACTATCTCATCAAACTCCCTTCCAGGAGATGACACAAGAATTTCCACACACTTTTGAAGCATGGTTAGCAAATCAGACTTGTTCAACATCCTAAAAGACACAATTATGGACACAGAATGATGAAACACCTTTCAATGTTCTTCACAGAAAAAAAAGTTAAAAATAAGTAGAAAAAAATCCTTTTAAAAGAGAAAACCCCCATAAAGACAAGTTTTTTTCCTTTTTTGAAATTAAGGGATATCAAACAAATGCAAAGATGCAAACAAAATTGCTTTGGACAGATGTACTTACCATTTTTCTACAGGACTGATGAGGAAACTTCTTTCTAATACTCTACACAAAAACCTTCAGTGGATATATAGTTACAAGTTTTGAGAATCTGTAACTTTTCAAACTATGAACCCCATTACAAAAATATAGTAGGGTTTAAAACTGATTCCAAAGAAGATGGCATATTATGAAATCAGGATGTCTCAGTTTTAGCTGGGACAGGGCAATATCCATTTACCCATGCAAGGAGTAGATTGCTCTCTGTGATTCAAAACAAGTTCTCAAACTAAACTGGAATTACTGCTTTCTGTATTTAATTGGTACCACCCAACCACTCCTAGAATCACAGAATCGTTTAGGTTGAAAGGGACCTCTTGAAGTCATCTAGTCCAAGTTCCAGCCTAGCATTTACTTAGTTTTATTTATGTATTAGGGCATTTTACAAACGTCACCCAGCACTTCTCAGTTTCACAATCTTCATTCAAAAGATAATAAAGCAAGTCCTTGCAAATATCCATAAATGAGCTCCAGAATTAAGTCACCTCATCCAGCCAGTACCTTTACACATGCATGGCTCTTTTTTCATGTGGTGCAATTGCCAAACACCACAGTTCTGAACAATCACACATTTGTAATAGCGACTGTTTCTGAGAGCTCTACTCAGCCTATTTGTGTGGTTTTGCTTCTTCTTTATGAAGTACAAAACAAAGATGATAAGGGATTCCAGAAGACAGAAAAGACATGGATACATGAAAAAAGGATGCTAACAAGCCCACGAAATGGTGGCCATCAGCGAGTCAGGCAGTGAGTCTCCGTGTCAGTTAGCTAAACATTGTCTAAGAGGGATTTAAGGAGGCATTCCAAAGAGGCTGGGGTAGCTTTGTCAATGTCTGGAAAGGCAAATGGAATGCAAACTCGAGTTTCTGATTAGCACTTGATGTTCACCTGATTTGTGGTTATGGAGTTTTGCGAGGCAATGGTTGCTTTTACATACATTCATTCTGTACAGAAAACCAGCAGGAGCTAACAAGAGGAAGGCGACCTTGACCACACAAAGGGTACAAAACATTTACTGTTTTGCAGAGAATAATGGATGAACAAGGTGGCCTTGTTCCAGGCATGAGAAAACACTGCAATAGTTAAAGATGTAAAACGACAAGAGGATGACAAGATGTATAGATATGCAGATGGAAAATATGTTCTTTTCCATTCATTTATATTAGTATTTTTTTTCCAATATGTAAGTTTTAGAAGTATCCCAGACATGAGAACATAGAGAAGAACTTGTTTACAAAGATAATAAGGCTAGGAGGCCCAAACAGCAGGCAAAAGTATTGTTACTGCACACTGGGAAACATTAAAGGATCTTTCCCAGCCTTTTGGACCTGAGACTTCTGCAAGGTATTCCAGGGATCAGAAAATCTCACATCATCCAGATACATCCAATAAATATCTCTTATTACTCAGACATGTATATGTCATATGTCCTATGAAAGAAAAAGCAAGCCAGGATGAAACCCATAGAAACACTTTCAGAATGCTGAAAGGAGGATCGCCTGAAGAACTGATAAGACAGGTAAACAACACAGAAATATAAAATGGCCGGACTGCGATAAGCAGCATGTGACCAATGACATCAGCAATCAGCAGCCAAAAACACAGTACAGCATCCAGACAGATAGAAGACTTAAAACTTTTTGCCACCTACATTTTGACCAGAAGCCCAAGCCAGTTTGCTCTCAATAATCAGTGAAGAGAGACATGGTCCTACCTCTCTCGATTCTCTCTCTTCTTACTGGACCGATTTATGCTAAACCTCACATTCACTCCCTCTCTTCTCTAATTTTAATTTCTTTAATACAAGGGGAAAAAAAAAAAAAAAAAAAGAGACAACTCCAGAAAATGTTGAAAAAGAAGAATGGAAGGGTGAGAGCGAGGAATATCAATAAGTGATACAGCCCCTAGGAGAGCAGAGAGATTAGAGAACAGTCAATAAATTCCACAGTGAAGCAAAGGGGGAAAAGAAAAGAAGACTCAGTGGAAGGGCAAAGATCACATTTTGCCACTTCCTTCCGAAACACAGCAGCAAGATCCCATGCAGAAATATCAGAGACAGTAAATATTTGTTAAAAGGGACAAGGGAGATAAAGAAAAAGCTGAAAAATATATATATATAATCCCAGTCAGACTTTCAAACGTTACAAGGAACTCACATTGAAGAAGTTAGAAAAAATGATGGAATTTCTGGATTTAAACAAAAAAATAAATCAAACTAAAAAAAAAAAACAACAACAACAAAAGACACCCATAATCTATGAAAGCAATAACCCTACTGATATTTTTATTCTACTCTGATCAGCGTTATTTCTACCAGAAATTCCATGTAGTGGTTGCCAGGGTTAGAGAAAAAAACAAGAGAGAGATGAACAGAAAAAGAACAAGCCAGAATCTGATGGCAGCATCAACCAAAAAGCAAATGAATTCAGAGTGGATGAAAGCAAATTAGGAGGAAAAATAGGAGAGGTAAAAATGGCCAAGAGTCACTAGATATTAAGAACAGACAGAACAGAAAAGCACAGTGACACATCTGTGACAATGGGCAGATAAGCAATCGAGCGCCGTCAAGATTCAAGAGAGTCAGAAAAGAATTAAGAAATGACTGCAGACATGACAACTCAAGCAAGCAATCCTTCCAATGGGATGAGGGTAAAAATATAGCAAAGTGGTGCTGTGGGAAAATGCAGTGTGGTAGGGGGACAGTATGGAGAGAATGTTTCTTATGCACGTGAGCCCAGTGATCCTCCAGCCACCACAGAGCTGGCTTTCCTATTCAACTTCCTTGTCAAGACATCAAACCTCACAATGGCAGAGACTCTCAACATGGAAGTTACGGTAACAGTGTTGTATCAGCTCCTTGAGCAACAGAAATGATGTTTGAATGAATGCAGTTATCAGGAAACAGTTAAACAGTTACTTGACAGAAGGAAGTTTAGAAGTCTGTGTTGCAGCATGGCGATGTAAAGGTTTTCCATTATGGAAATCACCTTACATGTATTTTCAATTTTAAACACTGATAGACAAGACAAACACAGCTCTCCTGAAGTTCAGTAACAATTAGCACAACCCCTGTACAAACTCAAAGAGAAGTTTATGGAATTAAAAAAAAAAAAAAAAAAAAAAAAGGCAGCAAAATAAGAAATAAAGGCCACAGCTGCCATTTGGAACAGATTCTGATTTTTCTGATTTTTTCAGAATTGATCACAGTTTAGGCCAACTAAAACTAATAACTTGGTTGACCCACAGTTAATAAAAGTTTTCAAAAATGCACCATCACAACACGTTCATTGAAAGAATACTGAAAGAATATCTAACAATGATACAGCTGATGTTCTCATTTACATAAATACTTCTCAATGTCTTCAGCATATTTACACTGGGCATAAGAAATATTAGATTCTGGCTGAGTTTCATAGGAAACAGTAGGAATACAAAATGAAGAACGCAGTCAACTGGACTTGCAGACAATCCTACAAGCTGCAGATCTTCAACACAGGTAGCATGCTCAGCTTTAAGTTCCAAAAGAACAGACAACTGATATTGTACATGTGTACAGTGGTATTAAACAGAATAAAAAAGGGATAAAAAGGATTAAAAAGTCACCTTGCTAACTGAAGTGATGACTCATACTCTTCCGTCTCCCACACTCGGTTTTCCAAACATGCACAGTGCAGTTCCCTGATCTGTTATGCAGAAAGTGAGGAAAGAATAAATTGCTTTTACAAGCTAAGCACTGAAGAACTCTTACAACAAGCTTTTTAAAGTAACATGTAATTCCTTTAGAGTTTCTTACTCAAATACACAGAATGACCGCGGCATAAATCGAGAGTGTTCAGTATCGTATACAACTAACCTCCCTGCATTGCTGGAGTCTGTGTGTTGCTCTGCACCAGGTTTAAAACAACCAGCTGAAGGTAACTGCACAGATCAGTGCAGAGGGACTAACTAAACAACTCTTAAATCTCAAATACTGGGACTCCTCAATTTTGTAGTTAGGGATGGACTCTAAAAACAACATGTAGCAGATTGAGAACAGATAAACATACATGCACAGAATATATTGTTCTTTTAGTGGAAGAAGAAATTGCTTACTGTGAGAATCACTGACATTAGAGCAATATGGCTATATGGAGCAATTATCACTGTTCCCTTACTATCATTTTATTTTACACAGAAAATTGCTATAACTCACTACTCAGATTCCCAAAATGAGACTATTAGACTCTTGTAGGTGGTAGAAGAGTATACACTGCTTGCACTTCATACAGAGAATTTGAGGTGTGGGAAAAATCAACTTGCCAATTCACTTGCTGATCTGTACATTTGCCTCCTTCTACAAACACATTCCTGCTGACTGACGAGCTATCATCCCTGCCAGCACAGAAACCACATGCTGTTCCTCTCTTCCCATGGCAAGAAAGCATCTGTCTCCGTTGGAGAAGTAAGGGGCAAAACAGCAGAACAGTAAATAAAAAGAATAAATACTAATTCAGATGTCCTGCTGGGAAATGACAAAAGATGTTTGATTGAAACAGAATAAGAGTACTTCACCTGCTTGCCCAAGGGATACTTTGGAAGAGAAGATGTGAAAACATGAAGACATCTCAGAATGGGAAAATAATTTTCATGGTAAACATTCAAGTCCTCTAGCAGCTTCCGCACTGCTTCCTACAGTGACAGGATCATGAAACAATTAGGAGTCATTCTGCCATTAGTTTGTTTAAAACCTTCACAAAGTTCTTAAAATGACTCTGAGGTTTTGATGCTCTGGTGTGCTGTGACTTAAATCCCCAATTTTCACTTAAGACCACTACATAAAAATGATTTATTTTAATAGTTCACTGCAATCACACTGCATTTTAACCCTTTTTCTTCCATCTCACTGGACAGCTGCTGTTGATTAGCAAAAGCACCATTTTCAAGAACATTTAACTGCTGTGGTATCCCCTAAAACCAAGACAATACATGTAATAGGTACTGAGAAATTACACAGCTAGATTTATTCAAGTCTTTATTAATTGCTTTATTTTTTATCACAAGCGCTCTTAAAACTCTCTCTTGCATTATGGGTGGCTCCTGCTCTTATTACAGAGATAAGCATTAAAGGATCAGATCACAGAAAAGTATTCTAGAGCTGCTGCTTCTATGTGCTTTTAATTCAACTTGTTTATTTATGGATTCAGATTTTCAGTAACAGGAAAAAACAAGCAAACAAAAAAACCACGTATCAGGAAAAAGAAATTAGGAACTGCTGCTACTGAATTTGCCAGTTCGTACCTCATCATCACTGGCTTCCCATGGAAGAATGTGTAATGCTTCTGGAAAATCCCACTAGAAATCTCTGCTGGTATATTTAAGCATTTTAGGCTCACTACAATAAAGTTCACTAATGAGAAGTTTACTTCTCTCCCCTGACTGTAATTAAAGATCAAAGGAGAATAACAGAATTTTCTACATTTTTACTGCCCTTTCAATCAGCTGTGAGAGAGCTACCCTAAACAGAAAAAATAATAAATAAATGAAACAAAACTAACCACTGAAGTTCTCTAAAGTTAAGCTAAAGAGTATCAAAGATTAAAAACAAAAATGAATCCTTCTCCACAGGCAATACAAGGCAAACCAATATGTGGAAGATACAAGTATCATACTGCAGGCTGAAATCAACAAAGACTTGGTGTTGCAGGGAGTTTTACGAAATTAAGAAAACCTTTGAGATGATAAAAACCATTAAGACATTTCTCCTTGTGGACTTATCAATTAAAATTTAAATGTCACTAGTTTAACAATTACTAAAATGACTTCCAAGACCCTAAGATGTGGGACTTCCAAGATCCTTCCTCATGGAAAAGGGACCTCATTCAGAGGGACCTCAACAGACTTAAAGGTGGGCCTGGAAGAACCTGATGAGGTTCAACACAGCAAAGTGCAAGGTTTTGCACTTGGGCCGGAGGAATCCCAGACATCCATACAGACTGGAAGGAGCGGTCCTTGAGAGCAGCCTGCAGAGAAGGACTTCAGGGTCCTGATGGATGAAAAACTTAACAGCCAGCTGTGCTCTTGCAGCTTGGAAATCAAATGGTATCCTGGGCTTCATCAGAAGGGGGGTGGCCAGCAGGGACAGGGAGGTGATTGTCCTCCTCTACTCTGCTCTTGTGAGGCCCCATCTGGAGTACTGTGTCCAAGTCTGGAGTCCCCAGTACAAGAAAGACAGGGAGCTGTTGGAGAGGGTCCAGAGGAGGGCCACGAAGATGATCAGGGGACTGGAGCACCTCCCCTATGAAGACTGGCTGAGGGAGCTGGGCTGCAGGTGACCTCATTGCAGTCTTTCAGTACCTAAAGGGAGCCTATAAACAGGACAGGAGTCAACTCTTTGAAAGGGTAGATAATAGCAGGACAAGGGAAATGGTTTTAAGTTGAGGGAGGGAAGATTTAGGTTGGATGTCAGGGGAAGTTCTTTACTATGAGAGTGGTGAGGTGCTGGAACAGGCTGCCCAGAGAGGTTGTGGGTGCCCCGTCCCTGGAGGTGTTCAAGGCCAGGTTGGATGGGGCCCTGGGCAGCCTGGTCTGGTATTAAATGGGGAGGTTGGTGGCCCTGCCTGTGGCAGGGGGTGGAGATTCATGATCCTTGAGGTCCCTTCCAGCCCTGGCCACTCTGTGATTCTATGAAGATGGATGCTGCTAGGTTTGTATTTTAGTGCTAAGAAGAATCACTAAAAAAGAGTTATCATCACCACAAAAAAAAAAAAAAAACGGGAGAAGAAAGAAAGTTCTGTTTAATGTGGCTAAATCAATCTTATTCCCCCAGACTGAGAGCATCCTAGCATCTGTATTTCCCCTATCAGGTTTCTCAGATCAAGACTGATGCAGTTATGTAAATGGAAATGCAGTTTGTATTTCGCCAAATAACAGAGTGGGAAGGCATATTCTGTTTCTCTCCTTTCTGTTTTACTAGAGATTGAAAACACGATTAGAAGATGATGCAACATTATTTCAATAAATACAGATGAACCCACTTACATAATTTCAAATGAAATTTGTTAGAACTTTCAGACAAAGTTGAAATCAATTAGGATGTGAAACTGAAGAGAAAATGCATTTAAATCCTAATTACTCTAAATAGGTGGTACTCCTCCCATAAATTAAAAAAAAAAAAAAAAAAAGAAAGGACCAACAGATGCCAGATAGCAGCTGAGAAAGAATACTGCAAATTTAGTTAGTGAGTTCGAATGGCAAGTTTACCTGGTCTTGAAAGTGAACAGTAAATTTTTTAAGAAGTACTACTTCCATAATGTCCTTAAAAGTATTTCCCAAGTTAGGAATGCTACTGTAGGTCAGGAAGGCATACAGAAGACACAGCAGCTCATTAATGCTAAAGTGGGGCATCTTCTCCCCATCCAGGTAACGCTGCCAGCTTGGTAATGCAATCCTACTCCTACTCCTGTTGCAGAGATCACAATATGCCTTATGGTAAGATTTATCAGAAGCATCATATGCACAAAGACAAGAGTTCTGGCTGTTTCTCTCCCAGATTTCCAGGGTAGGGATGGCCTTATGAAATAAGGAGTGTATTGTACTTATTAAACATACTGATGAATATTCAACTTTTAAAGCAGCAGCCCATTAAACGGTGTTTAAACAAAGAAGCAGTCACTGCCGCTCATTCCCACTCCTTCCTTCCTTCCTGCTGTTTTAACAGAAGCATTTATGCACCTGCAGAGAGAACAGGTTGAGGAAATTATTCTGCAGAAACAAGCCAGCAGAAAAACTCCATGGCTTTTTGGTTTTGGTCAGGTTATTTAAGTTGGATTGTATCTCTGATCACATTTATACCACAGCTATGCAAGCTGCTGTGCTGGCACATCTGCTGAGGTGTGAATAAACACCAAGGGAGCAGCAGTTGCTGAAGCTATTTTTGACATTGAAAACCATAGATCAGAAAGTCACACATAAATCATCTCTAGCCTTGACTACTAGAATTGCATTGCACTCACAAATTTGCCTGCTCTCTTCCAAACATTAACAACAACAGTGTTCTCTCTTGGAGAAGAGGAGGCTCAGAGGAGATCTCATTGCACTCTACAACTCCCTGAAAGGAGGTTGGGATGAGGAGGGATTTGGCCTCTTCTCCCAGGCAATAAACAGGACCCGAGGAAATGGCCACAAGTTGCACCAGGGAAGATTGAAATTAGACGTAAAGAAAAACTTTCTCTCAGAGAGTGGTCAGGCACTGGAATGGCTGCCCAGGGAGGGGGTGGAGTTGTCGTCTCTGGCAGTGTTCAAGAGGCGTTTGGATGAGGAGCTGCAAGATATGGTTTAGTGCTTGTGGTAGCAGTGGTAATGGGAGGATGGTTGGACTGGATGATCTTGCAGGTCATTTCCAACCTTGCAATTCTATGACTCTATGAACATTCTTCAAATTTGAGAAGTCCTTACAGACCAGGAAGACCTGCTAGGATACATGAATAGCTTTGTCTTTGGCCGTACCATTTGCCTGACAGGTTGCTCAACTTCAGGTGAAGTTGAGAGAAACGCTTTATCCTGAACGATGCATGTACTGGGAGAGATTGAGCTGATGATAATTACAAACAGATCTTTCTTTTAGAGGATGATGAACTCTTAAAATGCTCACAATAGCAGCTTGACCTCAATCACCTGACAAACTTTTAGATAAACACGCTACGTAAATTAAGATTTTCATCCTGCACAACATGTAGTGTGGATGTGTGCCTTAGGACTTGGTCTCCCCTACTGGGTGCAATCAGAGACTGCTCAGAGGGTACAGAGGATTAAAAGCTTAAGAAATAACCTTCAAGATTAGTTGCTCATCCTTTAAACACTTCACTGACTTTCCAAGAAATTCAGTCCGAGTAAGCATATACAACAAAATCATAAATAAGCCTTGTAAGCTTCCTTCTAGGCAGTTTTATTTCTACATGTAGCTAAAAGCTGATGCAAGAAAAGCTGTGCAGCTTTGTATAAAAGTACCTGGCAACCCAGAGATTTGGAACTTTGACCCATGGATCCTAATTCTCCACCACTGGACGTGAAGCAGAGTATGTACTGTATGAAAGATGTTACAGGAACCATATATCTTAGTTGTGTAATTTATTATCTCCCACATAAGTTAATATATTTTTGGAAAATTATTTGTGCTATCCAAAGACAGTCTTAAAATTTTACCTTTAAGGAACTGTCTGCTGTCAGCAGTGCGATCTGTTCCTCTGAGACTTGACTTTCCACATACCTGATGGCAATGAAAAACAGGAACACAAAAATTACAATGTAGATTGAGCTTAAAAAGCTATAAGGTTAAAAAATTAAAAGCATTTATGCTACTGTAAGGATTTATTTGAAAAGATTCAAAAAGGGACAGTCAGATCCAGCAAGTTGAAAGGCCAGAAGAAAACCCTAGAGATTATGTTCCATGTTGGCTTAACAAGTTGAAGAGTGATTTATGGTTGCTTGTTATAATAGCTTGTTTCTGTATTAAGGACAAGAGGGAAAAACAGAGTACAAACCACTGTACTCTCTATACCAGAAAACTAAGGGTTCCAGAAATTACTGAGCACTGTCCTCCTTTTGATAGATTTCTTTCTTTACACAAATGCACCAATAGCCCACAGTTTTCACACTTTACAGATTCCTTTCATTGTTCTCAAAGCTGACTGAACATAGGACTGTTCAAAAATTTATTTCACCTCTTACCTTCTAAAAGAGGGCAGTCTTCGAACGTTTTCACACTGATTATGTGATAAAGAATTTACTCTCCTCTTTGCTTCTTCCAGCTGGCAACACAGTATACTAAGAGGATTGGAATGGAAGTGCTCCACAATGCAGAGCTGAAAAAGAAAGCAAAAACCAGTGATGATAAAAAAAAATTCATCCTTCCTGCTATATCTATCTTTCAAGGCTTTCTTATCACCACAGTGCATACATGACAGTAATGGCATTCCTTTAAAAAGTTCATTGTTTGTAAACATTCCACAAGTCACATCACTGCACTACACCGGTTACAAAGCTTTAAATGCACTCATATAACTACCTTTTTTGCTCTATCTGCTATTCAAATTCAGTATCTCGTCGTTTCCCCTCCTACATCACCATAACCACAGCTTGTCAAACACTTTCTATTCATTTATGCTAATTACTGCATTCTTTAGCTTACATATACAGCTCCAATGCTCATAAATGTGTATATATTGACATGTAAATCAATTACAGTATACAGGTAAACTTACCACGTCCTCATTCCAATTTCTGTTTCACGCACACAAAAATACATCGCTAAGTTCTTACTACGCACAGATACAAATTCTCGGTCACTGATCTTAGCTGTCTTAAATATTCCTACTACCAGGGCCTTACAAAATAACAGCACGTGTCAATCACATCTAGTCTTAAAAACAGACAAGCAGACAGAAAACCTCACTAAAAATATTTAAAGCAAAAACCATCAAGGGGAAGAGACACTTCCTGTCAGACACATTACTGTTACTCCTAGACATAACTGGGACCATGGTGATCCCCTGTGAACATCACTTAGGAAATCTGATCTGAAATTGCTTCCTTGATATTTTCTTGAGTACTTCAATGCACAAGGACACAGCCATACCCTGAGGACTAGGATTTGTATTTCCACATCAGGCCAATGGAGAATCCTTAAATCCTGGCAACTTCTTTCAAATAAGAAAAGCTGAATCTTAAAAATCAAAGAACCCTAGACATTCTAAATGCATGTGATTTGAAAATATCAGGTTCTCCTGGCAAGTCCATCTGTGGCACCAAGCAAAAAGAAACAAAATCCAGAGTTCTCAGAGAAGCCCACAAGGAATAAAAGCTACATTGAGACTGAGACTGAGACGTGGAAATACATCTATATACAAAGACAAGACAAAAAAACCCATAGCCCATGAAATTTAATACTATTATTACTATTTTAATAAACTTTACCAGGTTTTTCACTTTGTTTCCTGAGAAGGCAAATGTAACTCCTGAAATGCTGCACAGCTGAACACAAGCATCACCTATTTTGAGGTAAAAAGCAAGTGACCCTACAGCACCTATTTCTCTGAAAACCTAAATGTGAATGCAGAAATTATTCCAGAAGGACTTCTAGCATAGAGTGGGGAAGAGACGCTGCTGTAGCTGACTCACACCATGACAAATCCAGCCCAAGAGGATCAAAGCAGCAACCTGATACCCAGTTGGAGAGTTGTGCCAAGGGTGTTCGAAGCTACAACTTAAACTACAACAAAAGAGAGGTGTTTCTACCCACTGTGGCAGGTCACACTAAATACATCTTTTAAATACAACCTTTTGTGGTAGAATGAGCTGTCTTTTAAATGCTTGCTTACACCCAGTCCCGTAAGCTTTTCTTTAGAACTCTGGCAGAGAAACACCCACCTGTTCACAGAACCAAGCTGTTTTCAAAGGGCATTTCTTTCATCCACATCAGTGACAGCAAGAATAGGAACCAGAAATATCTTTCAGTGTCTAGTAATCATGAATGAATCACACTTCATTTTCACCACCCATAATGTGAGTTCCTGTTACCATCGCCTACCTGAAATCCTTTGATAAAATTCTGGACAGAAAAATCATGGTAGAGGAATATGTTGATGAGAACCTGCAGAACTTTCTCACTCAGTTTAAGTGGAAACTGGGTTGTTAAAAGTACCTAAAGGGGACAAGAAGGCATAAAGAATTCTTTCCTGAATTCAACCCATCAAAATTTATATTCACAATTCACTACAACTCTCAGCAAGCATTAGCATTTGACTAAATGAGATGCTGAATAGGCTGCCAACTTCTAAAAACATATCTGCAAGAACAAACACACGTGTAAAGACTGTCTTTCAGTTCATTATTTCACCACATTTTTCTGAGCTCCTTTTACTAATTAATATGCAATGTTTCAGTTAGTTTTAGCTCAATATTATTCTTGTATTACTTTTTAAACCACAAACAATGGAAAGCAGATTGCTGTAACAACTGGGGATACTACTATTTTCAGCACATAAAGCAGCAACTTCAGAAATCCTGAACAAAGGAGTACATGCAAAATCACATAAGTAGAGTGCTTATTTGAACTGATCACTTGGATAACTCTACTAACTTTTTACAGACCGGGAATTCAAGCTGAACTGAGTTTTTCTGTTTTTAGGGCTATCCTTATCTAAGCAAAGTGAAACTTGGATCAAAGCACCGCCCTTCTTTAAAGAGGTGGGAAGGTCAAAGTAGTAGCCCAAGCGAGTATGCACAGATGCCAGCTTAAATCAAAGATGAAAGCACATGTGTCTCAACCTAGGGAGGAAGCTCTCAGTACAAATAAGCCACTCTGCAGTTATGGATAGAAATATCCAAAATTCACATCTCTCAGGAACAGATTTCATTTCAAAAGCTTCAGACAAACTTGTATTTAAAGCCTGCATATGTACACTGTGCTTGAATACATATACTCTTCCTATTCAGAAACAGAATTACCTTGTCAATTATAGTAGACAGGTGGTCCTTACAGGAAAGGGACTGAAAAAGCTCTATGCACAGCAGAGAGGAAACAGAGTGAGGAAGTAAGCTGTGGATAATCATTGGAGATGTAGCAATTCCAAAAATCAGTACAAGAGGAAATTCACCAATATGCTGACTATGGGAAAGAGGGGAGAAAAATACAACAACAGTCACATTACAGAAACTCATGAAATAAACACATTATGTTCCTAGCACAGCACTGACCTCATGTGACTTAGCTGCAATAAAGAAAAAAAAAAAACAAAAAAACACAGAAGTTTTGATGTACAAGGAGAAAAAAAACACAAAAGGAAGCTACTTAAAGCCCGAAGATAGAAAACAAAATTAAATTACATTTTAGGATTCAAATTTCAGGAAGCAGCATAAAAAGCATCTTTTCCATTACAGTACTGTACCGACCCATTGGGAGAACTGAATGTTAGCACTTAATTTTTTTTGCAAAGAAATAAAGAAAAATGAGAAGAGACTTTGAACAGCTAACAGTCTCAAGAACATCTACAGATTTTACAGCATTTAATAACTGAGCAATACATTTGAAATCCCTCTGAAGCTCTATGTTCCCATTGCACTTGAAAAAGAATTTCAGCCTCCCCAGATTCAATCTTCCTCTTCAGATGGTTTTTTGGGTATACCCTGTTAGGCAGGACTGAGAGCTGTATTCACTGGGAATAACATACAACTATTTATATGAAACACAATATTTGCAGTACTCTTTTATCATTATATTCCTTTTTTTAATTGGAGTTTCAAGGGAACACAAGTGCTGTATCTTAAATCACTTCCAGGTTAAATTTGACAATTTATTCATTTTTTTATTGTCTTTTATCATAGCCACTTATTGACCTCAGTGTTTCAGCTGACACCCCCACAATTACCTCCTCACTATAAACTGAAACACAAAACCAAAACTTTACATATTACTGTCCACTGTTCACAACCTAAAAGAATTTCAACAGAGAGAGAAATTTAATCTTGTGTGAACAAATCAGAAGACTCCCTTCTTTACCCACTTCATCTTAATTATTAAACTGACACGTTTAAGACAAATGCTGAGAATAAATCTGAGTTCTGCAATTCACCCAAAGATCTTTTTAAAAGTACTGTGTAACTCTTCTCAGCTTTCATTTTATTTCTCTTCTCTTCTGCTTTAATCAAGCCAACTCCTGGTCATAAAAACAGCTGAATCCTCTCAAATTTTTTGAAACATGGTCTGTTTTAAAAGTGTATGCGCAACTAGTAGGCTGTGACAGACATAAACTTCACTTCATCTGCACTCCACATGCTCATAATGAGGTATTTATCCTCGCCACAAAAAGCAAAATAGAGCACAGCACTTAAGAAACAATTAAACCTCATTTCCCACTGCCTTACAGCTAATTATTTCGAGATAATTGTGATTTCTGATTTTACTTCTTGAAACGTTCCCCAGAGAACCCATCTGCCAGATTTGAAGTAGAAAACAATTTTACTGTGGGCCTCACAGCAAGTGAAATTGCTTAGCCTTGTTTAGACGTGACATCAGACGTGCATGCTGTAACTGCATTAACTCTACAACTGTGGTTCCGCTCCTGCTATAACTGCACTTCCATCCAGTGTGCTCTTTTTGGAGAACTGTGGGGCTAATTATTGCAATGCAGGAGATGATTTGAAGGAAGGCAGCACTAAGAAAGGGCAGAAGCATAGATGCATCTGATGTAGTCTGTCACTCACTGCTCAATCACCGCTGCAAATAAGCAGCATCAATACCTGCTCCAACTCCCCGCTGGTAAAATTCCCTCATTTTTACACTTCTAATCAGCTGCAAATAGAAAACGAGTAATGGAGTGGAAGAACAAAACTCCAAGTGACATTACCTGCTGATAAGCACAAAGTCCTGAAGTACTTTTGTGGTGAAACTTTCCATGTCTTTGAAGATAACAACAACTGGAGGAGACTGCCAGTGTCTGGAAGATGTTCTTTTTTTGCCTGGAGTCTCAGAATCTGTTTTCTTTAAAGTCATTGGTTATACATTAATAAACAGAAGGCAATCAAATAAAAAAGACTGAATCCCACATCTACAGTCATATAATGTTCCGAAGTGACACAACTGACTTTTTTTTTGATACAACTGTATTTATTAGAAGCATCAAGAACTCCAGTTTTCCTTCCTTCTGCTTGGCATAGCAGGAAAGGCAAAGAATATACAAACTAAAGAGAAACAATGGAACTGGGGCTGTTTAGTCTGGGGAAAAGGAGGCTGTGGGGAGACCTTGTTGCTCTCTCCATACACCTGAAAGGTGCTTACAGTGAGATTGGGGTTGGTCTCTTCTCACTGGTGACTGGTGACAGGACAAGGGGAAATGGCCTCAAGTTGCACCAGGGTAAGTTTAGGTTGGATATCAGGAAACACTTCTTTAGAGACAGGCTTGTTAAGCACTGGAATAGGTCCCCAGGGAGGTGGTTGAGTCACCAGCTCTGGATGTGCTTAAAAACTGTTTGGATGTGGTGCTTAGGGACATGATTTAGAAGAGGGTTGTTAGAGTTAGGGTAGTATGGTTAGGTTGTGGTTGGACTCGATGATCTTGAAGGCCTTTTCCAACCTGAGCAATTCTATGATTCTATATGCCATGAAAGACAAAGACAACTCTGTGGGACAGAATCAGTAATGCTCTGCTGAGACCGTGGCACATTTTAGCTGGGGACATTGAAGCTGCCCATTCTCTATATATTTATACAGTAACAGAAAGAGTGTTCACTCATGAAACTTTCACTCAACACGCTGCTCATAAAAATCACTTCTAGCTTTCATTCAAGACAGAAAAAAAAAAAAAGCTTGAATAAAGCATAAGTAGCTTTATTAAATACAAGGATAAAAAACACTTAGAAAGTTATTTTGTCACTGCTTTTCACTGTAGTATGGGTTGCAGATGATACAGTGCCACACTGGGCAGTGCGGTGTCTTTCCCTTAGAGGACTATTCTCTCTTGAAGTTTTATTTTAATAAACATCCCAGCACTCTTGGGAGTAAAGCACCTAGCACAAAGTTGACATTGCATTTTAAGCCTCTGGCTCCCAAGTAAACATACTGTACAATAGCAGTATACCTATTTTTTCCAGGATTCTGACCTTCACACCTCATCAGCAATTAACTCTGCATCTGTTACATACGTTACAGATTTATACTTGAATCTACTCAGTCTCAGCTGTTTCTCAGCATTAGACAAGAAGCTGACCTTCTGCATTTTTTCACTACTGCATATAAATTTGAGGTATTCAGTTTCCTTCTCTTAAAGAATATAAAGGTCAGACGTTTTTGTAAACTAGTGACACATAAAGATCTTACCTTTGTTGCACTCTCATACCAGCTGATAAGAGAAGTCATCGAACAACGAACTCTATTACGGGAAACCTGCTCATAGTCCTCCTCTTCTGATGAGTCCACATCTATACAGCAGTTCATCAGCTGTCCCAACAGCTTCTGCATCAGATTTTTAATGCCTTCACAACACATTTTTTAGAAATACGATGAAGACTTTTGGTTAGTGGCCTACATCCTTAGCACTTCCCCAACTCATGCTCTAAGAAACTCCCCAACTTTTTATTTTTCACTTTTCTACATAGATAGCAATAATTCACACTAAGATGTGACCCCTTTCTTAAACTTCACACCTGCTGACAGAATGACCTGAAAACAAACTAGAAGGCCACCAATAGATTTGGAGGTGCTGCGATGTATTATTTAAATCTTTTCATTTTTAAATAATATTTGATATTCAAATAAGGAGTGGGACAGGTTTTTTTCTACCCATTTCTTTGCTGCAATAATGTGAGGGTAAGCATTTAAAAATGGAATGCATCCATACATCAACTGCTCAAACCAGAGGAAAGCCAACCTACAATATTAGCATGCACTACACTAAGCAGCACGCTCTCAACACTCGTGCTACAACCAAACAGCATTTCAATCATCGCTGTCTGAGACAGAATTACACACATCTTAAAGCCCACTAGAATTCCTGCTGTATTATCGTGGGATTGAACAAATCTTTTGAAGGTTTTCAAAGTCTCTCCATCTCAATATTCTGACATCTGGGGACAAAAACTAGAATTACTAATTAATTGACAGATTATTCAGATGAAGAAGCAAAGTTATTGCAGTATTTACCTGGGCAATCTTTGGCTTCCAGCAACGCTATGTAAGGAGTAACATTATTCTGAAGGAATTCTGAGAGACTTCTAAAGGTGAAGTCGTGATCTGTAACATTCACACCTAAAAGAAAGATGATTTAACTGCATATTTCCTGTGACTTGTGACCATGGTGACTGATCTGCGCTGCAGATCAAAAAAAAAGCAAGAGATAACACAAATATTCAAGGAAGGAATGAAAAGCATCACTTCATCTATGAGGACAGATGAAAAAACAGCACAAGACTGAACAAACATATTAATACCAGTCAGCTGAAAGGAACAGGGAGCTGTAAAGATGCCTAATGGAGAATTTTCCCTTACTTTTAATGAAAGATTTCTCAAGGCTGCAAACCTGCAGGGAATAGGATTGGTTTTCTAATTTCCCTGCCACTCATAACCTCAAAGACATCCACAGGCAACTAATCCTACAGATAAAAAGATGAATTTCACTTTCTCTAGGAGAGCAGCAGTGCAGACCCTCGAGACCTGAATCTGCATGGGACTTATGCAAGTAGGGAAATTACTGTGAGTTTTTATGAACTACAGTCTGAATTAATTATGACCTACTCAACATTTACTGCCTTTGTTAACATCTTTAGACAAAAAAAAAAAAAAAAAAGGATAGGTGAAGGGGATGGGGAAGGGGAGTCTCCAGAGGGCAAATCATAGCTTCTTTTCCACAGCAATATTCAGAGCAGGAACTTCTCACTTTCTACTAGTTCCAAAAGCAGACTAATCCTCCACTCTTTGTAAGTGTTGATATAATACATCTGTGGCACAGGTTTATGAACCAACAAAAACATAATCGGGTTGCTCTGAACCAGGTTTAGGTTTACAACTGTTTGAAAGGGAAAAAAAAAACGACTTCAGAACCTCTCTAACTTCAGTCGTAAGGCCTTCGGCTATTTTTCTCACCCTCTGCTCCTTTTCCAAGATAAAGATGTTGCTTTCCTACATGTAAAGATGCTCTGCAAGAGTCAACTCATTAATATATATCAGAAATACAGAAGCTGTATAATTCCATGCCACAGGGATTAGTCATAGAAACCACCAAGGAAATCAGCGCCAGATGTGGGGATAGAATCAAAGCATCTCCATGCATCATGAAAAAACCCAAATCACGACTGGTTGCCTAAGATGAACCTCCAAGGAAGAAGCAGATTTATTGCACTAAGGTACTAAGCATACAGGCAAAATGGAAGCAGGTCAACTCTTGCTTCCTTCTCCCAGCGCAATCTCTCTTAATGTTTCTGAAGCTGACCTGGCCTGCACTGATTGCTGTAAATAAGTGAAATGATTCTCTTTGATCTCTGTATCAATTTCAAGGCTCTGTAAGAGTGCAGATGGACATAGCAGAATGCATCTTTAAGAAGTTACCTAAGACAAGAGCTGCAGTAGGGATTTCTCTGGACTTCATTCGCCACGTCCATTCTGTTGTCTTCTCTTGGAATGCAAAATGAGACCGCCTCAAAAAACTCACTAGGTTATCAAATAACTGTTCATTCAATTCTTCCTCTATTTGCTGTAAGGAGACAAAAAGAATTTCATCTATACAAATGTGGAAACACCAGAATATCCTCATTTTCCTACCCTTTTCCTGTATCACAGCATCTCTCCTATGAGGAAAGGCTGAGTGAACTGGGTCTGTTCAGCCTCGAGAAGAGAAGACTGAGAGGGGACCTGATCCAGGTCTATAAATATCTAAGGTGTGGGGGGCAGAATGGCGAGGCCGGACTCTTTTCAGTGGTGAGTGGAGACAGGACAAGGGGAAATGGCCAGAAACTGGAGCATAGGAAGTTCTGCACAAACATGCGCAAGAACTTCTTTACAGTGAGGTGACGGAGCACTGGAACAGGCTGCCCAGGGAGGTGGTGGAGTCTCCTTCTCTGGAGATGTTCAAGACCTGCCTGGATGCCTACCTGTGTGACCTGCTGTAGGGAACCTGCTTTGGCAGAGGGGTTGGACTCGATGATCTCTGGAGGTCCCTTCCAACCCCTACAATTCTGTGATTCTGTGATCAGTTTGCTCCTGAAAACTCCAGTGTTACATCTGGAGTAGCACTGGTGTTTTTTTCTTAGAAACAAGAAGTGACACGCATAGCTGTGAACTTGATTTTAAACGAAGTCACAAAGGTTGGCTCAAGCAGTATTGCTGAGGAAGCTACCAAGAGAGGCAAGACCACATCTCCAGGATGCTGCACACGATGCCTGCTCAAAACCCTGAGCTCCATTTTAACCACAGACAAGAGTTCTTGGTGCACCCCTCGTGAAGGGCTGATAAACTGGTAAGAGAGTACACAAAAGCCTTTTCATCCTCTACTTACTCAAAAATATTCTGACCTTTTTGATATTGACTGTCTGCCTCAGCTCATACCAGATAAATTATATGGTAACTGAGGGGAAATTGCAGCGTGACATTTTAAAAAGATGAGTTCATGCCATCAGCTTTATAACAGCATCTCACTAATTCCTATATTACTGTAGATCCCACAACAATCCTCAGAGCATCATCTTCCATACCCAACACACCATGAGATTCTAATTGTTACTGCACAGGTTTTCACTGAGCCAATCTAACAAGATTCTGAGTCCTCACGTTGCATGGTTGCAGTTTCTATTATTTCTTCTGAAGATGAAATTCAGACTGCCATAGCACTACACATTTACGTAGCTTCCTTAAATCCATCAGGTTTGGTTTTGTTTTTTGTCAAAATAACTTTGTTATTTGCAGTATTCTGGTAATTTCCACTATGTATGTTAGTCTGCTCTGCATCTGAGGCAACCAGCTCATTTACTTGCATGACACTGCTTACTCTGGAAACTTCAAAAACAAGATGAAAAATTGCATTGGAAGTTCAATCACTATTACAGTACTAACAACCAGTGACTGAAAACCATTATTTGCACCTTACAGCTCTAAAATAACCATGCTACAGCCCTGCACTTGGGATTTCATGTTCCTTGAAGTACGCCTGAAATTTATCACCTTTGAAGAAGTGAATGTTTCTGAACGCCCTTGATGTATAACAACATTTGCAAGACTGTTGAAAGCAGTGGTTAAAATCAAGGCAGTCTGCAACACTGGAACAAAAGAGGTCAAAAATACAAATTCCATAAACCTGAAAAGGAGTACAGTACTTTTACCAGCTTTTCATGATGTGAGAAGCCTAAAAGGATGTCAGCACCAAATGCCACCGCTGCAGCCCAGTTTATGATAGATAAACAAAGGCTGAGGGCTCCTCAACAAAGTACTTGGAGGTATTCCCAAGTATCCTCTTCAGTATTCAGTAACTCCATTAGAAACCAGAGAACAGGAAAAACACCAGCACAAGCACTGAGCCTGCCAACAAATCATCAGGTAGCAGTACCCTGGCAAAAACTTTGGTCAATTTCCTGCTAGCCTTTCATAGCACACTATCAGAATCCCCAGAATATAAGTCCACATCAGCAGTCCAAAATTCTACCATGGATCAGGTTTACTACACCAGAGTTACTGAAGAAATAAAATCTCGACTTGGTAAAACTCTCAGCTACCTGGTCTGACTTTACAAGTGGTGCTACACAGAGCAGCAGCTCACAGAATGGCCAGAGTTGGAAGGGACCTCAAGGATCATGAATCTCCAACCCCCTGCCACATGCAGGACCACCAACCTCCCCATTCAATACTAGACCAGGCTGCCCAGGGCCCCATTCGATCTGGCCTTGAACACCTCCAGGCACATCTACAACCTCTCTGGGCAGCCTGTTCCAGCACCTCACCACCTTCATAGTAAAGAGAGAGAAATTTAGCTCACACTAAACATCTTCCAAACTGAATCACCACAATTATCCATGTAGAAACAATTATCACCTCCAAGTTTTTCAAGTGTGGGATAAAAGGATAGTAATTCAGAACTCAGTGGGAAACATTACAGAGACCCCAGAAGCTTGATGAATAAAATTTTATGTATAGCAGCAAAAATAACTGCAGGCAATCTGCACTTTGGTTAATCAAACTAATCAAACTAAGGCAATACTCATATCAATTTGTCAGCTTAGGATGAAGTGTCTTCTACCAGGAGGAGAAAGAACAGAAAGAGTATTTGTGACACTCCTTCATAGAGAATAATGGTAGGAGACTTAGGAGGAGAAATAATTATGATTTTCCAGATGACTCTGTGCTTCTACATAGTTAAGGGAAGCTTTTTACCATGATGGCCATTCTGAGGCAAATCCTTACAGAGCACTAGGAAAAAATCCTCATCGACCTGAAAACCCTGCAGACACTGCTTGCTACCTAGAAGCATTGTTTCAAAACCCTTGACAACACTGTATCAAACAAAGACAACTTAAGAAAAGGTCTTCCAGAAGGGGCTACAGCATGTTGTCTTCCCCGTAATCCCACTGTGCAACTGAAAAGACAGTTTCTTTCTGCTAGTGCTGGTGGCTAACCTGTCAAGCAGAAGCAGACAGCATGTAGATGCCAAATACACCTCCAGAAGCCTCTGTGTATGCTCTGTAATCAGCACTGTGACACCGTGCACTGCTCTGCACACTCTGGTTACTTTGAATGTATGGTTTGAAAAGGGTGCTGACTAGTCAAAGCGAGGTGGATTGTGGAACAGCAGAGAGAGAACTAGAGGAATTTATGAGTTTAGCCTAAGGGTCTAAACTGTAACCTTCATCCAGCTGGCTACTACTGTATATCCCAAAACAAACTTTGGGAAAAAAAACCCTCAACGTTCAGTGCCCAATAGTAGGCAGACGAATGTGGAATTCTTGCCCAGAATCCTTGACATCAAATAGAGGAGGAAATCCCTGCTGTATGGAAGCAATTATTAATACTATAATACAAGCCAGCTGGCTATTCAAACACAACAGCATGCCATCTAACACACAATTAGGAGGCCACAGTTCAGTATGAAATTAACTCCCATCCCCACCAGACAAACCCACTGACACAGTCCATACTAATTTAACAGACTAAGTGTACAGCTGTGTCGTTCAATATTTGACACCCATGCAGTTATATTCACATAAGCCCACTGTGAATCTTGAGCTGCTGGGCTCTGTAACACTCAGGACACAGGGAGCTTAAATCCTTAGGGGGCTGGCAAGCACACAAATGAATTGGAGGTAAGAGAAAAAAAAAAAACCCAACAAAATTATGCCAGGAATTAATAAGAAGTTCAATTGCTAAAAACAGAAAGTTAGAAAAAGCAGCTTGAAGCCTCAAAAGCATGTAGTGCTATGAGCAGAGGTTATGTGTAATTGATGGATTTTCTGTATTTATTATATCCTGGGTCAATATTTCTGGTTCTTTTATTGCTTTAATAAATTGCTTATTTAAGCATGTAAAAAAATATATATAAATGACTAAACAAAGAAGTAAGCAGAACTGTTACAAATGCAAAATGCTGCTTTCATATTAGGTGCAAGACTCACCTCTGTTTCTGATTTGACCTGTTTCTGTAATGACTGGCAAGTAGCAAACCGTAGCTCACTGTCCTCCAAATCACTGCTTCCTTCTCTGAAATAGTCAGCTAGAAAATAAACGCGAGCACAGACAAGATTATCAAGGCAAAACATTCTTTGCTGAGAAGAAAACAAAGGACTCAACTGAAGCAAGAATATCTTTTTATATATAAATACATACAAATATAAAAACAGGTAAGGGAGCTTAGCTTGTTATCTTAGCCAATTAACTAACTGCTGGTATTTCGCTAAATGAGGGAAGAAATAGGATGTACTGCCCAACTGCAGAGGCAAAAGTAGAAGAGTTAGCTTCCACCTCAAGTCCCAGATAGCTAAAGGCTAAAGCAGGGCAAAAAGCAGTTATTGTTATTATTATTTTACAAAATAAATAAATAAAACAAGTCTTTCCCTTCTTTCAGGAAATTTTGTGGGTCAGCTTCCCCCTTTGAATATGCAACCTTCCATCACTACTGCAGTCAGACATGAAACACAAAGGCTTGCAAGAATACATCAAAGATCCTTTCTGCTCTCCCAGCATAACACAATTAATACCAATTTCCAGATGACAACAAAGCACACTGTGAAAGAACTGTTAGATTACAAGAAATACAGATTATTATTATTTTTAATACATCACCTTAACTAACTATGCCAACAAAACCTTTAAGCTCAAACCAGGCCTCATCTCCAAATTGCCTCTCACTTCTATAGGTGCTGCTTGTGGAAAGGAGAAACAAAATGTCCAAGATTGATCTAGAACGACTTCAAGCCTTCAAAAATCAGATCTTTTTTGGTAACACAGTGTCTTGACACATTTCTGGAATGCATCTGGCTTCCCAGGTGCTCCTCTGCTTCACAAATCTGAGTACAGAAACTCTCCACTAGCTGCCAACAAGAAAGGCAAAGCCAAAAATATAATCTGAGATTGAATAGAAACTAGTAAAACTGAGTGACATCCCTCTTGGTGATTTCTTTTTTCTACCACCTTCACACGGTCTACATTTCCCTTAAAAATGAAAGAAATAAAGTAAAATAGGGCCCGTCCCACTCTCAGCATGCATTTAGCAAGCTTGGTGAAGCCGTTAAGGCTTCTCTAGCATTACTTGGAACAATACAAAGCCTGAAGGTGAAGTAAGCAGTCTATTACCTTTAATATTGCCTTGCAGCAAAAGGTAAATTTTTTTTTAAAGATGTTTAAATAAAGTTTTATAAGGTCCATTTCCCATCATTCGGCAGAGCAACAGCTGTGGTCTGATCTCTAAAGAACCATGTGATGAGCACATCCAATCTTCCAAATCATTAAAAGCCCAATGATGAATGAGATCGATCCCTAATCCTTCGTTTTCCTTGGCTCCCCTAAACTAACACCTGATTTACATCCCTAAGAAAAATGGCTTCAATACATAACACACTTTGATAGCAGAAGCCTTATTCTTTTGAAGAGAATCGTAGCCACTGTGTTTTTGTTATTATACCAAAGCATAATATTCTTTCTGCACTACCAAAACTCAAATTATAGGTGCAAACACGTACAGAAGGCCTTTGCAAGGTCGAAGATTATTATCAACCACAACTGAAACTTCACATTTTCAAGTTTGGGTTTCCAAATTCATCACATGCACAGCTAAGTTATGTGTTCTCACCAAAAGCTGCTAGTGGGCAAAGCAGCTCACTTCTGCTTCTCTCTTAGGGGTAGTTCAGTCAAATTCATTTTTTGGTGACAAAGTATGTGCTAACTGGAACGTGTTGAGGAGGATTTACCCAAGTATTACAAATCTTGCAAAAACAGAAACATCATATTCTGTAAATTACAAAATTCCAATGTGGTTTAAGTGCATAGGTCTGGATTGTTAGTGTATTCACCTTGCAATGACTTGGAATGAGAGACTGGATTATATTCCCCTACCTCTCATTCCATGAGGCACAGATGTGCCAACCCTTACAGAAAAAAAATAACGTGGGACTAATTTTGAAGCAAGTGTTGTTTTAAGACCCTCTGGTAATAAATGAACCTGTGGTGCTTACCAGAAGTCTGCCCATACTACTTTCCCTTCCTTTTTTTTTTAATACACAAGTTGTCACACTTCTTGACAGCTCTGGTGCTGCCAGGAAAGATCAAAAAGCTTCGAATCCGGGAATAAGAACAGCAATTTCCCTGAGCCACTCTCCAACAACAACTTATTTATGGTTCCAATAAGAGTCAATCCCATTCAGTCTTGCACAAGTGACAAGAGACTTTATATAACACATTCTGGGTTGGAGAAAAAGATATACAAGAAAGTACATGGGATGTCCACACGTGGCTTTTGCTTAAGGTTATTGAGGAAAAGAAACTACATTGAGGATAAGAGAAACTTATTGAGGATAAGAACTACAAATGGAATGAATTTCTGAATCCCACAGCTTTAAGTGGCCCGTTCTAGTCTTCAATCATTTATCAGTCAGGAAATAATTTGAGGTAGCATAGAAATGAGATCTTTTGTTAAAAAAAAAAAAATATATAGAGCTAGCTATACAATCTTGGTGGCTCAAGACAAAAAAAACCACATTCATCAACTACTTGCTTGTGTACCTCTGAAGAAATGAATTTTCACCAATATTGACATCAAAGAGCCATTTTCACACAGCTATGACAGAATTCAACCAGGGCTGAAGCTTCCAGGATTAACCCCTTCAAAGCACAACAACAAATAGCAAAGCATACTAACCTGTTGTTCGAGACAATTTTCTCCTCTTGGGGTTTGGTTTAAAAACAAAGCAGCCCTGGAGAATAGCAAGAAAAATAAAAGCTTCAAAATCAGCATCAATCTGACTGTGACTCCTGAGGCCACTTTGCTCCCTGCTAAACTTAGTGCTCCACTAAACCAACAACTAGAAATGAAATGCCAGCATCCTACGGATACCAATTTGCTTGCTGTGCTTTATTTTCCTGTTTCAAGATGGAAAAGCAGTGCATGCAGTATCCCAGCATCCCTGTGAGGAACCTGTTCACCTTTCAATTATGTTCTTCAGCTCATCCATCAGATAGAGCAGCAAGAAAGGAATCCTTGAACTTCTCATGCACCTTCATTCAATAACCTTAAAAATAAGATGAAATGATTCCCCCAGGACATATCAATGGAGTTTTCCCATTAAAGGTTCAGTTTGAAATAAAATAAAGCAAGAGGCTGGGATGAATGGAGGTAATCCAGAATAATGCAGTCATTTACAGAAGCCAATGATACCCCTTATCTACAGAGGCCAAGTTCATCCCAACTCAGAAAAGATCACAGAATCACAAAATCACAGCATGGCTTGGGTTAGAAGGGACCTTAAAGTCCACCCAGTTCCAACCCCCTGCCAAGGGCTCCAACCAACCTGGTCTTCTCTGGGCAGCTTGTGCTGGTATTTCACTACCCGCTGAGTAAAGACTTTCTTAGAATTATAGAATCCTTAGAGTTGGACAAGACCTTTAAAGGTCATCTAGTCCAACTCCCCTGCAATGTGTAGGGATATCACAGTTAGATCAGGTTGCCCAGGTCCTGATCCAGCCTTGCCCTGAAAGTCTAAGGATGGAGCATCCACTACATCTCTGGGTAGCCTGTTCCAGTTACTCACCACCCTTACCATAAGACTTTTTCCTTTCACCCAAGCAAAATACACCCAACTATTTCTTCCTAATATCTAATCTAAATCTCCCTTCTTTTAGTTTAAAACCATTCCCCTTTGTTTTAACACTATCAGTGTAAAAAGTTGATGTCTATTGATTATCATGAAATTCACTGAATGGTTTGGGTTGGAAGGGACCTTTAAGATTATCCAGTTCCGACTCCACTGCTACAGGCAGAGACACCTCCCATTATAAGCTCCCAAGTACTAGAAGGCCGTAGTGTGGTCTCCCCTCATCCCCCAACTCTCACTGTGAGGTTACTGTGCTAGAACCAGAATGAAGAAAAACCACAAATGTTCAAGGTCTACATACAGACTGATCCAATCATTTATTTCCCAACTGAGACACTTGCATAAATAAAGACCACTGAACTCAACCAGCGATAAGTTCAGCCAATGGTAAAAGAATGATCAAGTAAAAATAAAGCTCCAGAGTGATGTTCAATATTGCTCACAGATGCTGATCTGTTGGGTGACATTGGACATGTTATTTCTGTTCTGGTCCAAATATGAACTCTAACACTGATACCTATACTGGCGTCTGAAAAACAGTCTTAGGAATCATAGACCTGCTTGAGTTGGAAGGGGTCCTTAAAGGCCATCTAGTTCAACTGCCCTGCAAGGAACAGGGACATACACAGCCAGATCAAGTTGCTCTGAATCTGGCTTGGCCTTGAATGCCTCCAAGGATGGGGCACTCACCACATCTCCGGGCAACCTGTTCCACTGCCTCATCACTCTTATTATCGTAAAAAGCTTCTTCCTTATATCCAATCTAAATCTTCCCTTTTCTACTTTGAAACCACCTCCCCTTGTTCTATCACCACAGACCCTGCTAAAGAGCCTGTCCCCTTCTTTCTCACAGCCTCCCTTTAGATACTGGAAGGCTGCTCTCAGATCTCCTTGGAGCCTTTTCTTCTCCAAGCTGAACACCCCAGCTCTCTCAGCCTGTCCTCATGGGGAGATGTTCCAACCCTCGGATCATTTATGTGACCCTCATCTCTGCTTAAGTCAAATGAAATATAAATGCTGTCCACTGAATGCTTTTCAAGTGTTGTATTTCCAAACACCACTCAGCGTAGCAGAGGCCAGTATGTAAGATGGCCAAGTGCTACATGGAAGACATCGGACACAATGCAAGGACCCTCCACTACTCATATACGTAAAAGCAACGGCTGGTTGGAAAGGGAAATCCACTCGCTCTGGGTTAAAAACGAGCTTGGTTTGGAAGCAGCTCCTTTCGCTCCCGACAGCAGTAACTGCACGGTACGGAAGGCTCCCACTGCACCTCGCAGCTCAGCGGGAAACACGAGAAAGGCAATATGCGATCACCGCCCCACCACAGGAAGTACCAGACCCGAGGCTGCAGCGCTGCAGCGCTGCAGCCCGGCTCCCCTCAGCCGCCCTCCGCCCGTACGTTTCCCTCCGCCAAGGGAGCGCGGAAAACAACGTCATTCCTCCCGCCCTCACCTTGGAGAGGGAGCGCGCGCTCATCTCGCCAACCCCGCGCTAATGGACGGACGGACGGCGCCAGGAGGAGGGGCGGCAGCGCCCGGCGCTGACCCTCGGCGCATGCGCAGTAGGGAGGCTGCCAAGCCCCTCCTCTCGCGGAAAGGCGGGCGGCCCTCGGCGGGTGGAGCGGTGGGGTCAAGGGGCGGTGTTGACCTCCCGCCTGTAGCACCGGCATGGCGGCCTGTGTCTTTCGTAGGAGCATCGCCCGCCAGGTGGGCTGCCCGCCGCAGCTGGACGGCGAGGAGACCCCGCAGCGCTTCGTGGCTGCAGGGAGCGGGGTTTTTCTGGCGTCTGCGTTATGCTAACGCTTTTTGTGCTTTTATTTCAAATGTAGCTCTCCGAAGTTTTGGATTTGCCACCGGAGAACTTAATAAAGTCCATCTCTGCGGTTCCTGTCTCCAGAAAACGGTAGTGTTTGCGTTTAGTCCTGCTGTGCTGGTCACTGTTGTGTTTGTTGGTGTGAGGCTTTAACGGGTCTTAAGAAGAAAGAAACACAGAAAGCCCTAAGCTGACATACCAGCCCAATTGTAGGATGCTCAAATCCAATTAAACCACTGTTGTTGTTGTTGTTTTTTTTCAAGCAAGTTCCAAACAAATGTTTGCTTCAAAATAGGCGGTGCTTAAATGGCAAATGTTTCAGTGTTAATTGATGCTAATGTTAATGACCTTGGGGTGAAGATATTGTGAGTTTTTTGCTTCATGTCATGCTTGAGAGGTGTAGTGGTAATAGCAGGTAAATGGCAACTATTCATGAGCATAACCTTTGTTATTCTGAACTGGTAATCTTGCTGTGTGTGTTTTAGCACTGTATTAGTTAGAATGAAGGTAATACTGAGTCTTCAGATGTATTTTTCTGACCATGGTGTATTCCCACATCTGTGACTGGGTTATGCTTGCCAACTGGACTTGCCGTAGTTTGTGTCAACTTGGATTTGTCAAATCTCCCCATCATTTCAATATATTTCTTCCCTGATTTTCTTATGTTCTTTTATTCAGGCGTAATGCTGATTTCCAGCTTTCCATTGCTTCCATAGAAGAAGGCAGTTCTAGAGATTACATGGCACAAGATCTTCAGCTTCGAGCTCAGAAGCTAGCTGAGAAGGTATGCTACCTTTATCAGGCCAGACTTCCAATCACTGGCTGCTTGAGATCGAGGTTTGCTTAGAAGAGAAGTGTCTTTGTGGCCATTCCAGGCCATGGGAGACAGCAGTAGCTGAGGCATTCAGAGTAACTACATGTCAACGGTTTATGGGCTGGTCTGGCCCAGTTCCGTGACCAGCAGGGCGGAGGGATCTGCGGATCCGCGCCTCTGGGAAAGGGGAAGCAGGGGACCCCAAAATACTTGAAAACAACAGCACTGATCTGAGGTGGAACAAATGATTTTACTAAATATAGTATTAGTAAAATACAATGAGAGAGAGAGAGAGAGAGAGATAGAGTCTGTTTGAATTGTATAGACCTCACCACAATGCTGGGGTGAGAAGTGCAGTCCAGTTGAGAGACTGAAGTGCAGACGGCGAAGTGCAGATGGCGAAGTGCAGGCAGCGAAGCGCAGATAGCGAAGCGCAGACAGCGAAGAGCAGGCGAAGAAGAAGGATCAGGTGACCTTGCTTGGAGTTATATCCCCTTGCTGACCGCAAAGTCTCCTGGGGAAATGTAGTTCTTCTCCGACAGACGAACATTCGGCAGATATCAAACCCCACCCCCAATGCATTACATGATGTTATGGTGTGGAATACTGATGACCAAAAATCATAAAACCATGACATTCCACCCCTTATTCTACATCACTACATCATGCTTAACACATGGGATTACAGACTGCACTCCCCCAACATCAAATTCCCTTGTGGTACACACTGAACATCCCCGTTTTTCTGCATCACCCACCAGGTGGACCCAGGTCCCTGGGCAAAGACAGTTCCGCGAAGAGGTTTGCCCTTCCCAGAAGCAGGAAAAACCCAAACTGCTTTTCCTAACATGTTCTTTACATGTACTACAGGGACCTTATCTCCCTCTACAATATGTAGGGAGCTGGATTGGGTAGGACCATCTCGACTGATTGATCCTCTGGTGTTAACCAGCCAGGTGGCTTCTGCCAAATGCTTCTCCCAGTGTTTAAATGTTCCGCCACCCATTGCTTTCAACATCGTTTTTAACAACCCGTTGTAGCGTTCGATCTTACCAGAGGCTGGTGCATGATAGGGGATATGATAAATCCACTCGATGCCATGTTCTCTGGCCCAAGTATCCACAAGTGAATTTTTAAAATGAGTCCCATTATCTGACTCAATCCTTTCTGGGGTGCCATGTCGCCACAGGATTTGCCTCTCCAGACCTAATATGGTGTTTCGGGCAGTAGCATGGGGTACTGCATATGTTTCAAGCCACCCGGTTGTTGCCTCCACCATGGTGAGCACATAATGCTTACCATTGCGAGATCGTGGCAAGGTGATATAATCAACCTGCCATGCCTCCCCATATTTGTACTTTTGCCATCGCCCTTCCTCCCAGAGAGGTTTCATCCTCTTAGCTTGTTTAATGGTGGCGCATGTATCACAGTCATGAATGATTTGTACAATGGCATCCATAGTTAAGTCCACCCCTCGGTCTCTGGCCCATTTGTATGTTGCATCTCTCCCTTGATGACCTGAGGTCTCATGGGCCCACCGAGCTAAAAATAACTCACCCTTGTTCTGCCAGTCCAGGTTTATTTGAGCCACCTCAATTCTGGCAGCTCGGTCTACCTGATGATTATTTTGCTGTTCTTCAGTAGCCCGAGCTGCCAGAATTGAGGCTGCTTGAGATCGAGGTTTGCTTAGAAGAGAAGTGTCTTTGTGGCCATTCCAGGCCATGGGAGACAGCAGTAGCTGAGGCATTCAGAGTAACTACAGTATAACAAAGAAGCAGCAGGTGTACAAAACAAGATATCCAGAAGTGATTCAAGACTTGAAGAAACAGAAGGGACAGGGAAGAAAATAAAAGTCTTCGAGGAGTTGGCGTGCATTAAGTTGGAAGCGGGATCAGAAAGGCGATTCTAGGGTTTTAAAAAGATCCTTCACAATCTACAAAGATGTGACTGATGCCAGTGAAGAGGAACATGCAACTTTGCTACTGCTTAGTTTAAAGAGGCACTAGCAAGAAAATAAAAGAGCAAAAAAAGATTCTTTATGTGATTTAGAAAGAAGTTTTAGAAGCAGTCAGTGGGGTTGCTATTTGATCAGGAATTAACAAGGATGAATAAAACAATTGCAATATTATTGAGATGCTGAACTGTTTCTTCATTTCATTCTTCACTGCTGAGATGTTGAAGAGCTCCGTACCTTAGAACCATTTTTTGTAATAGGTGAATATTCTGACTGAGAGCAAGAGGTGGTGTTGCTCAGACAGATGTACCACTGAAAGTTATGAAGCAGCATTAAGATGACCTGGAATCACAGAGTTTGAAAGAGTTTCAGGAAAAGTTACCTGTAGGTTGCTGGCAGTTTTTGGATGAGGTTGCTCAGAAGTTTTGAAATCCACTCAGGTTTTATAAGCCTCCAGGAATTTGACAGCCTTTGTGGGCATTCTGTCCAAGCGACTAACATCATGGCAGCAATTCTTTTGTAAGTGTCTAGTCTGTCACTTTGAAAACAGTCTGGTTCCCAGTGATTAGAGAGTTGCAAATGTGTCTCCCTCCTTTATTGGTTGTGACTCAGTAAATAAACCTTGGCCACAGAGTCTCGTGTGTAGAGACTCACGTACAGGGAGAAACCGTCGTAACTGCAAAAAGGTACAGACCATCAATATAAGCCTCCAAATTGTACACACTGTAAGCCTCCAAATTGTACACACTGTGCTGGTTAACTGAAGGAAAAAAATATCATTGATCTCTTGTTGTGTAGTGCATTTATTATCTTTTCTTTAGTCAGATCACATCATCACTCCACAAAGAAGATGAGCAGTGTAGAAATAAACAAAATAGAACTGTTATATGCAAAACTAGCATTGGAATAGAGAAATGTATGCAGTGATGAGTTTTTGTTGTGATAAGCAGTTGATAGTGCCTCAGGGTTCAATAGTATGGTCTTAGGGAAATAGGTCACAGCATTTGAAATGTGGATATTTAGGTTAGAATAGGTGAGTCTAAAACAGTTTTTGTTGACTAACGTAGCCTAAATAATGCAATGTGATGCTAAATGGAGCATAATATGCTCTGATATGCTGAGAATTGCCTGTCAGAAAGGTCTTACATTCATTGGCTTTTGATTTTTGTCTGAAGATTTTTTGCTTCATCTTTGAACTGTTAGTTCTTTGCTGAGGGGGAAGTTTTTTCATTATTATTATTATTTTTAATCTGTGTGCCTCTACCTAGCATAAAGGCACTCTGACCCAAGTCTCAGGCATGAGGAGGTCTGGTTACTGTGGAACTATATTGTACTTGGAGGAGAGGTTCTTAAAGCTATGGAGAGGCCAAGTGAGCGCTCATACTGAAGGGAGATGAAAAACACTGGAAGACTAATGACAACTTACATAGAAAATGTTTAGCAGAGCAAATAGTATGGAGCAAGTGCACTGGGAATTTTTCTGTCTGCCTCTTAATGTTGGCAAAAAGGACCTTCAGTAAAATGGAAAGGTGGGAAATTCTGAGTCAATACAAAAAATATTTATTCATGTAGCTCATAGATAAACAGTAGAATTTGTTATTGTTGGAGCTTGTAAAAGTTAAAGAACTTAGAGCCTAACTGTGATTGCACCTCCTGTTTAAATCATGTTCTAAACACAAATGCTATGAAATGGGTATAATTTCTTCCTTGTGCTGGTGTGCTTCAGTCAGAATTAACAGCTTGCCTGTCTCTCTCGTATGCATTAACCAAGTTGTGTGTGATTGGTTATTTTATTGTTAGTTTTTGTAGGAAGTTTCTTGGCTCCCAAACATAGCTAGTTTAGTAAGGAAGAGGCCCAAACTCTCAACCTGTAAATAAACGAAATTTGTTTAAAGAGGAGGTCACTCACAGTCAAAATGAAACAGAAACTGGGCACATGCAAGGACTGAGAATGAATGTGT